AGCCCACATCTGGGTTCAGGCTAGGAAGGGGAACTCAATGTGCTTAGGTGGTTGTTGTTGGATGATCTCCTGCCTGCCTCCTAAACCTCTGTATGCTGATGGTTAGATGCAAAACAGGTGGTGATGTGATGAAATTCATGGAAATCTTGAAGGAAAGCCCTCAGGTTGTCCTGGTGGCATGTTGTAGGTTGACCTTAAGCTGGTGAGAGCCATAGGGTCCATTTTTTAATCAGTATTTTCAGTCACTAAATGAGCTTGTTAAACAGTGTGGTCTCAAGCACTAGAAGGGTACAAGTGACACTTCACTGTGTTATCCCCCATCATCCACGGTCACATCATACCTCTAAGAGGACCTATGGATTGCAAAAGATAACTTCTTTGCAGGAATAACAGATATCTGAGCATTTGTATCACTCACCTGGTCTGGGGAATGCAAGGATACCCATTTCCCTAGGGGCTGGATTTGAATATAAGCTGCCTTGAGCATAAGGAACAGTAGAATGGATCTTCTTAGGCACATATGCTGACATATGCTGGTCCTGGAGGAGTGTAACATATGATGTGCATTGAAATATCATCTGCTGGCTGGGCTACTCTGCTTCTAACTCTGTTTTTTTAATATGTAAAGTGTTTCAGACTGTATTTGATCTTGTTGCCTTGGCAGGCACTTTTCAACTGATGTATTTAGACGACATAAGGGAAAATACTGTCTGGATTAGGCATGAACTGAATCACACTTAACTGTATCTTGAAGGTATATAGCCTGGTTTAGAGAAGTCACCTTTAAAATAAAATTTTTAGTACCTTCTTTGTGAAAATCTCTCCAAGTAATTCTAAGATTGATTGTAAACTATTTACTTGTCCCTAGCTGCCCCGTTCATAGTAGAAAAATTTGAATTGTAATAAGCTTCATCAATTTGTAAACAGAAAAGCAACATCAGTTCATTAAGTGGCTTTTCTCTCTCCTATATATACAATTAAATTCTGATGTACATATATGATAGCTACAGAGTTATACCTGTGTGCTTCTGTGTCTGTGTGTATATGTTCAGATATCTGTGCATATATATATATGCAAGTTCATGCAGCAAACAAATCGGTCCATTTGATTAAGTGTCCTGATGCCTGCAGTAAACTAAAGTATTATGCAGTTTAGTGATAGGACTGCAGATGACTGTGCAAAAAGGTTCTCATTGTTAATGATTATTTCAATGATAACGTGATGGGAAAATGAAAATGCCATATATGAATGTGACACAAGAGTGACAGTATTTGGAGGAGACTTACAAATGTTAAGCATCCAAATCCTGTGGTAATGCTGGACAGTACTTTTACTTTGCAAGACTCAAGGAACATTTATGTTATCAGTCTGAGGTGACTGTAAAATCACTCTGAAGACTCAGAATTTTTAAAGGTTTATCTTAGTGTATTTGGTTGATGTAATAAGACAAGCTAGGCAAGAGATATATACAATTAATGTGACATATTAGAAATGTTAGTTAAGAGAGGAAGAGATAATCCAAACAGTTTCTATGCCTAATTACAATAGCAGAGGCCAGGATCACACTGGGGTGAGTTAAAAGAGAAGCCATTGTGCTAGAAGCTAGAGTATTCCTCCATTCAGCTACAAAGGCCTGGGGACAAGAAGCGCCACATTTGTGGAAGAGAGTCTCCTGTTGCAAGTGTAATCATAACTTGTGCTGCAAACATCCTGCAGTGACAGCTAGCCTCAAGCTGACCCTGTATTAAGGTACTAAGAACCTTAATACAACCCTTTGCCAACGGCCAGTGGTTGACAGCAACAAGCCATTACACTGCACAATATTCTGCATCTTGGCCTGACAACTAGAATGCTATGGGGATCGCACTCTTTACCTTGATCTCACAATAAACATAGCACCTGTAGAAACTGCACTGCAAAATAGAGAAGTTTCTGCTTCCAGGAAGTGTACAGTACATTAGATGTTTGGAATAACAACTCTGTTGAAATTTTTTTTTTAATATTACAAGAAGGTTTTAAAAAAGAAGTATACAGAAATTAATACAAAGGTAGAGAAATGGAAAATGCAGTAAAAACTCTGGAAGCAAACCATGTTGTTTAAAGAAGTTATTCAAAGATGCTCAGAAGCAGAGTTCTAAATTCAGGTCTAATTAACGAGGCACAAGGCACTCTCCTGAAATCCTTCTGTGGTGGGTTGACCCTGGCTAAATGCCAGGTGCCCAACAAGCTGCTTGTTCACTCCTCTCCTCAACTGGACAGAGAGAAAATGTAATAAATATATGTGTGGGTCAAGATAAGGACAGGGATAGATCACTCACCAATTACCTTCACAGGCAAAACAGTCTCAACTTGGAGAAATCAATTTAATTTATTACAAATCAAATCAGAGTAGGATAATGGGAAATAAAAACCAAAACTTAAAACACCTTCCCCTCACCCCTCTTCCCAGGCTCAATTTCACTGCTAATTTTCTCTGCCTCTTCCCCCCTGGTGGCACAGAGGACAGGGAATGGGGTCTGTGATCAGTTCATCACATGTTGTCTGTGCTGCTCTTTCCTCCTCACACTTGAGGGGTCACCAGTCCTGCCAGCAATCCTGCTCCAGTGCGGGCTCCTCTCCCCACGGGGGCACAGGTCCTGCCAGGAGCCTGCTCCAGTGTGAGCTTCCCATGGTATCACAGCCTCCTTTGGGCATCCCCTTACTCTGGTGTGGGGCCCTCCATGGGCTGCAGGTGGAGATCTGCTCCACCACGGACCTCCATGGGCTGCAGGGGCACAGCCTGCCTCACCATGGGCGGCACCATAGGCTCCAGAGGAATCTCTGTTCCCATGCCTGGAGCACCTCCTCCCCTCCTTCTGCACTGGTCTTGCTGTCTATAGAGTTGTTGCTCTCAAATATTCTCACTCCCCTCTTCCAGCACAGTTTTTTCCTCTTTCTGAAACATGCTATCTCAGAGCCACTTACAACCATTGCTGATGGGCTCAGCCTTGTCCAGCAGTGGGTTCCTCCTGGAGCTGGCTGGCACAGGCTCTCTCAAACACAAGGGACGTTTCTGGGACCTTTTCACAGAAGCCACCCCTGTAGTCTCCCCTGCTACCAAAACCTTGCGACACAAACCCAGTACACCATCAGAGCCATGCAAAGCTCCATGTTCACTATGCAGGAACCTAGCGCATTTCCATCTGTTTTGAAGAATACATTCCAGCACGGTCTTTGCAAAGACAGTGCAACACCTAGAGCCTCCAGATGCTGCCATGAAGGCCAGTGTATTTATAAAAACAGATGTTGTTTGGTGTGGTACTGCACTGGATGTATTCTGTCCTGTCTCCTCCATATGTGTGAATTGTGATACAGCAGAACAGGTTGAAATAGGGAGGCTTGAAAGGAGAGGTAAAGTCAAGCAGTGTATTTTCCTCCCTGTATTAAAGAAGAAATAAGATCCTTACTTATGCTGTTAACCTGAGCAAGCACCATTCCCCATCTCTGTATCTGGTGTAGTAAGAACTCTTCCCTCTCTTTTGTTTTTGGAGGTATTACTATGGATACCTCTAAAAACATTACCTATGTTTTTACCTATGGATAAGTATTTGAGAATTACAGGACAGAACTATAAGTAGTGTTACACTGTGTAGTCCTTCCAATAAATGAAATGCAACAAAATGAGTCAACACTTGCCAGTTTGGGGAAGATACCAAATTATTTAGTGAGGCTAACGAAAAGCAGATTGGCGATGACAAAATATTGCCATGGAAACCCTGGCAGATGTACCTGTATACACAGAGTCACCCTACCAGCTAAGCCCTTCGTCTGCAAGGACAGCACCTCTGAGCTGGGAATCTAGCACAACTGAACTGTAATGGAAAAGCAGGAGTGTGCTAAACATCTGTTTTAAAAACAGTTTATGGCTGTCATCAACTTTAGTTAGCTGAAAAGCTGCAGAGAAGTCTCAGTAGTTAACAAGTGGCAATACTCAGGTTGCACGCCACCAATACTTGTCACATTGTGTTGTGACAGTGGCATTTCATCCTAGACCTCGGATGCCTCTCGTGCTTTCCACACACAGGTTGGTCACTACTAGAAGTTCAGGTTTTAGCAAATCACCATTATCTCCTGCCCTACGTGTTTGGGAAACCTCAGGTATGCCTTGTGATACCATGTGTTATTGATTACCTGAAACAGCACTGGTGAAAAGGCAACCCGGCAGGTGAATTGTGTTGATTCAGGTACACAGAGCAGTGCCTGTTGGAGGCCTTTATACACATTAGGGGTTTCTTTGTTGTCTGTGTTTGCCCTAGAATGGGGTTTGTGTAGCCTTTTGGCTTGGGTTCTGTGACCTTGCTCTGTGTGCACGGAGAGTTCAGAAAGGCTGCCCAGACCATGGCACTGAGGACCAAGAGGAGCAGACTGAAGGAGGCTGCATTCAGTCCCGTGGTGCTGCCACACTGCTAAGACACAGTGTTTGTTCAGGAGCTGTTACTCCATCCTGACAAGGATACCGTAGAACTAAAGCAGGTTCAGCGAAGGAAAACAGCCACAGCAAAGGAGATCTGTTACAGGCAGAAAAAAATGGTGGCTGTTTACTTCAGGAAACAGGTAAGGCGGTCACAATAAAGCGGTAGTAACTATTCCTTTGTAGTAGCATAAAATTGCAAGGCAGCAAGTACAAAGACAGTATTCTATTTGTCCATTACACGGAAGGAACACGCTTGGCAGTTACGCTGCAGACACTGCCCACAGGCTGACGTGAGCCACGCTGCACCTCCCGCCACTGCACCGCCCCTCGCCGCGCCCTCTCGGCGGCGCCACGCCACATTGTCGGCGATCGACTGCTCAGGCCCTCCCGGCCCCGCCCGCTGGAGGGCTGGTCTCCGCGCGGTCCTCAATTGAGGCGGCCTTTCCCTCCTCGGGAGCCCCGCCTACGGCCGGCCAGCTGGTGCGGCGGGCGCTGGGGGACGGGGGCAGCGCCGCTGCTGTGCCGAGCTTACAGCGTCGGCGGGGGACAGGGACAGCGTCGCTGCCGTACCGAGCCGCCGGCGGCGGCGGTCGCAACAGCCGCTCCCGATGCTGCGGTGGCTCATCGGCGGCGGCCGTGAGCCGCAGGGCCTGGCGGAGGTAGGGTGGCGGGCTGGCGTGGTGAAAGGGGCAGATCAGCTGGAGGCGGGGCTAGGGGAAGCGGTGTCCCCGCCGGCGGGGCCAGAGTGCTGCTCCTGTGGACAGCCGCTGTCCTGCGGCGCCGCGCCGGTGGAGGGCCTTAGACAGCAGTGGGAGAACCGGTGTGAGGGCGGCGGCCTTCCCGTCGGGGCGGGTCGCTGGCCCTGTGGGACCTACGCAGAGCTCCCGGGAGCAAGGGGCCTTCGAGGCTGGCGCGCAGCTTGTGAAACCTCCTGGCCGATAGAAGGGGTTACAGGCTCCGCTGAAGAGAAAGAGTTGAGGGGGAAAAAAACGAAAGCAAATAGCAAATCCCGCAATCTGAAGGGACTGGGAGCTGTCACTGTCAGGAGGGCGCCAGCTTCCTTCCGCCTGTTCAGTGCGTCCTGAGCAAGTGGGGGTTATGTTTTGTAGCTTCCAACGTATGGAGTCCTGCCCTCGGGACTTCCCGGTCAATGTAAATTATAGGCAGTAAGTTATTATTTGTGTGGCCTAGTTGTAGTTTGTAGTAGTCTTGCAGCATTTCTTCTTCGTTTCTCATCATAAAATAAAGTAAGTTATGTGAGGTGGTGTTACATCCTGTTGCTTCACTTGGGAAGAGAGTTTTACTGGGTTTGGGGGAGGGATTATCAGGATGTTCTTGTCCCTTAGACACTGCTGAAGTTCTGAGCTTGGAGTTAACTGGAATTCATTAACACTATTGCAGGGCTCCTTACACTTAGTGGTTTTGTAGTCTGGACTGCTGTACATGAACAAGTCATGACAGTATCATGGTGGCTTTCAAACACCAGTAGTTACTTTGGTGCAAATTTGAGTCTGCACCAGTTTGGAATGACAGTGTCTGGAAATGCCACTGACCTTTATCATTAGTCAAAATGTTGGTTATATTGCAGTCATAATTAGCAGCTTTGTCTGCAGTTGTTTTTAGAAGAGTATGGGAAATACAGAACAGCTTTCTAACATATCCTAGAAAACTACGTTGGTCTGCCTTCCTCTCCAAAATTTAAACTCTCGCTGTTGTTTAGTATTCTGTGATTTGAAAAAAGCATGAGTCAAGATGTGTTCCAGTTCTTCCATTTGTAATTTAGGTAAACAGTGGACAGGGTCGTTGTTGGTGACATGGATAGTGGGATTGAGTGTGCTCTGAGCAAGTTTGCTGATGACACCAAGCCTTGTGATTTGGTTGATATGCTGAAGGGAAGGGATGCCATCCAGAGGGATCTTGGCAGGCTTGAGGGGTTGGCATGTGCAAATCTCATGGAATTCAACTAGCCAACTACAAGGTCGTGCATCTGGGTCATGGCAGTCCCAAGCACAAATACAGACTGGGTTGAGAGCAGCCCTGAGGAGAAGGGCTTGGGGGTATTGACTTACAAGAAGCTCAATATGAGCCAGCAGTGTGTGCTTACTGCCCAGAAAGCCAGCGTATGCTGGGCTGCTGCAAAAGGAGTGTGACTAGCAGGTTGAGGGAGGTGATCCTGCCCCTCTGCTCTGCTCTGATGAGAACCTGCGTGGAGTACTGTGTCCACCTCTGCCCCGTCCCCCCAACACAAGGGGGACATGGAGCTGTTGAAGCGAGCCTAGAAGAAGGCTACGAAGACAATTGGGGGCTGGAGCACCTCTTCTGGAGACAGGCTGAGGGAATTTGGTTTGTGAAGCCTGGAGAAGAGGAGGCTCTGGGGAGACCTTATCACAGTCTTACAGTAACTAAAAGGGGCCTGCAAGAAATCTAGAGAAGTTCTTTTTACAAGGGGGAATGACTTTGAGCTGACAGAGGAGAGATTTAGATGAAACATTAGGAAAAATTTCTTCACTATGAAGGCTGTGAGATGCTGGTACAGATTGCCCAGAGAAGCTGTGGCTGCCCCATCCCTGGTAGTGTTCAAGGCCAAGTTGAACGGGGCTTTGAGCAACCTCGTCTAGGGAAAGGTGTCCCTGCCCATGGGAGAGAGGTTGGAACTAGATGCTTTTTAATGTCCCTTTGAACTCTAACTGTTCTATTATTCCATGGTTCTGTTTCCATTCCTACCACTGTTTTGCTGAAAGATGGTGATCAGTTTGCTTCTCTGTTGAAAAAGTGAAGAACAAACGCTGGTAAGGGTTAGTCCTGGAAGTACTTTTCTCCTGCATTATGTAGTATTGTTTTATCTAAAGGTCGTCTTCATAACTATCTCTGTGCTCTCCTTAAATAGATAAGGAAGCCCATAGCAGTGTGTGGGCTATGGAGTGACGAAGTTTGTTCCATGTTCTATGGCATCAGCCAGTTACGAACAGGCCACATGTATTCAAGTGACGTTGCACTGGGTGAATCATAGAATAATTAGGGTTGGAAAGGCCCTTAAGATCATCTAGTTCCAACCCCCCCTGCAGTGGGCAGGGACACCTTACGCTAAATCATATCACCCAAGGTATCTCCAGCCTGGTCTTGAACACTGCCAGGGATGGAGCATTCACAGCCTCCCTGGGCAACCTATTCCAGTGCCTCACCACCCTAACAGGAAAGAATTTCCTCCTTATATCCAATCTAAACTTCCCCTTTTTAAGTTTTAACCCATTACCCCTTGTCCTATCACTACAGTCTCTAATGAAGAGTCCCTCCTCAGCATTCCTATACGCCCCCTTCAGATACTGGAAGGCTGGTATGAGGTCTCCATGCAGCCTTCTCTTCTCCAGGCTGAACAGCCCCAACTTTCTCAGCCTGTCTTCATACAGGAGGTGCTCCAGTCCCGTGATCATCCTCGTGGCCCTCCTCTGGACTTGTTCCAACAGTTTCATGTCCTTTTTATGTTGAGGACACCAGAACTGTACACAATACTCCAGGTGAGGTCTCACAAGAGCAGAGTAGAGGGGCAGGATCACCTCCTTCGACCTGCTGGTCACACTCCTTTTGATGCAGCCCAGGATAAGTTTGGCTTTCTGGGCTGCAAGCGCACGCTACCAGCTCATGTTCATTTTCTCATCAACCAACACCGCCCATAGGATAGACAGACGTTCTGGCAAAGCTGTCCTAAATTTGTGAAATATAGATTTCTCCTTACCCATTTCTTTTTTTACTATGGAGTTGAAAATCATTGAAGACTTAAGCTCCTGAATCTTTTCAGTTGGTGTACATCTCTAGTAGTGTGGCTCTGGTAATGCTAACAGCCTAACTTCAGTAGCATCATCGTCAACATAAGCTAATTTCTCATGCTCCATGATATACATATAAATATATCTGTGTACTGTTGTTTTAATATTTTTAGTGAGTTGCTTTTGAAAATCCCTCTTCTAAGGACATGAAATCACAGGGGTTGTAGGAAGTTCTGATGTTGAGATGAACATTGTGCATTTTTTACTGATGTAATGATGCTTACAGGTCCTGCATAAAAACATGCAAGTTGGCAGTGGATTCCATTAGTGTCAGCATCTAGCCTTCTCTTCTAAAAACTTGGTGTTGCAACAGGAGAGTTCAGTTATTAGTTTATGTAAAAGATGGATTTATTAAGAGAAGGAATGTACATGTAACCCCACACTAGTAAATATTAGTAAAGATCTGAAGAGAGAATATAGCTTGTCGTATGACAGTACTGGGGGAAAAACTGTTATTTTGTTGTTATCTATAGTATATCATCAGCACTGTATCTTTCAGTATTCACAGGCATTCTTAGAAAGAGCAAGATTAGACACATTGTTCAAAAGAAGTAGCACAGTCTTGTACTAAATAGAAGACAACAACAGAATATAGAATTGGGATGTTAATGTTACAAATTCTGACTTTTTAAAAGCAATTGATTTCTGAATGTGTATTTCTATTAGTAAATAAAAATGGAAGTCTTCTACAGTATTGCTAATGTCATCCAGTGATGCTGAGATTTGCTTAGGATTTTTAGAACTTTTTTTTAAGGAATGTTTTGATGAGCTTTTGACATCTGAAGTCCCCCAAGTTTCATGTTTGTCCAACTTTTCTTTATAACCATGCAGACTCTACTTCATTATTTTAAATGGGAACTACTATTCTCACATAATTGCATAAAATGAGGAACAGTTGCTTCATGAAATACATCAGATAGCACAAAACCAAGATAAAATCACAAGAACTTGCATTTTGACAACCTCTTCATTTTAAAAATAAACAAGATTTCTTTCCCTGTTTATTAGCTTTGTCATTCTGAAGTTCTGAAGAATAGTATCATAGTACCCTTATGAAAGTAATAGAATATAATTTATATTACTGAAAGAAAATGTTGAAGTTTCTGGGGATAATATGTATGTCTTTCATGTAGAATTCCTAGTCATGTATGCTGCATGTTGTGCAGTATTCGGTAATTACTGTTTTACAGTCTAGGTTCTGTTGAAGTCCTCAAAGAAGAGACAGTCCTGAAAGTAAGATGGTGTTGACTATTGCATAAAATGAATCTAGGAGGAGAGTGCTGTCACTAAGTTAGTACTGAGCTATTTAGATTTATATATTTTTAAAATAATGAATAATAGCAAGTTGTTCCAGAATGTGGAAGGCCTTTAAGGTAAAACAGTTGTCATCTATTGAAACAAACTGATGATTGAGATAAGCACAACTCTTGCACTTTGAGACTGCAGTCCTGTGCAATATTTTATTGACCCTGTCTGGTGATCAGCCTGATTGATTGTTCTTTTAATTAATAGTCTAGTTGGGGGTAATTGCAGATGCTGTTCTGTAAAATGATTAACTGTCCTCGTTTTTTTTTGTGTTTGTTTTTTTTTTTTTTTAATATGATTTGCTTTGGTATTTTGTGAATGGATTCCCAATGGATACTTTATATATTATGTAACAGAACAGCATTTATTCTTGTTTGTTTTAAATATGTCATCTTTATATAGGATTTTAAAATTGAATGGCAGGTGAAAGATATGAAAGGTTCACAAACCTCTCAGGAGAGGTGTATTTTAATGAAAAACTGAATGTGTGGATATTGAGTCATGAAGGTGACTCCACATGACAGCTCATGACTAAACTGTTTTTTCATCTTGGTGTATCAGTGATTAAAGCAGTACAAACAGAAAATGCTGTCTTATCATTCAGAATACATGCTATAGAAAGATATTATTTACTTGAAATAATACATTATCTTTTGTAACAATTTTCATTAAGGTAAAATTATATTTCAGTAACTTAGTTTAACTTCGAATATAACTGTACATTTGCATGATTCATATGTAGGTTGTTAGACATTACAAAGACCTAATGAAAATAATGATGTCAGTACAAAATAAATTTCATTTCTTTTTTATGAATTTTAGAAATCATCTGTACAGACAGTTGGTGAAGAACAAATACAGAATCCTTACACGGAGCTTCTTGTGTTGAAAGGTCATCAAGACATAGTACGATTTCTTGTGCAAATAGATGATTGCAGGTATGAAAATTAATTTCAAATTGTTTACAGCATCCTTGGCAATACTTCAGAAAATATGAAAATTTTGTAATATTTATAATTCAATCTTTTCATTTTTGGTGGGGAGGGCAGGAAAAGTCTGAGGTTAAAAAAGGCCTTTTCTTGGTATTTTACTACATCTTTTAGCTTCTCTTGTAAGTTATACTTTCATGAGAAAATAATGGTGATGGAGTTACATTTCTTGGTAAAAATTCAGTAGTTTGAAAGAAATACCTTTAACTAATTCCGCCCTTCTCTTTCAGGCTTTCTCCCTGGACAATATGCAGTAGTGTCTGCTTCTGTTCTGAGTGGATGCATGCATTAGGTTTTTGAATTGAGGGCAGCTGCTGCTTCATCTTTTGGTTCTACAAAAGAATGTAATAGATTTCTACAGATACACTATAGCAATTGAACATGACATTCTCAGCATTTTTAGCAATACTGAATGTTGCTGTTTCTTTCCAATCTTGTATTATACTTTCTTCTGAAACTTAAGTGCTTAATTCACTTGAGTTTCAGTTAATGCAACTTTTTTCTGAACTTTTCAACGCTTCACTTAGAATGACTTCTTAGTAAAATTCAACATATGCCTAACCTCTGCATTACATATCTCCTCCAATTTGGTCTTGTTCAACTTGCTGTTCTTCTTTATAGCTTAGTGGTTGCTTTTTTTCTCTCATCTAATTCTTAGCTTTTTGTGCTTTTGTTTTATATATTCCCTGACAGTCTTTATCTGTTCCTTTCTTAGTTCCTTGTAATTAAGTCCAACTCTATTTTGAACTCTGAGGACAGAGGTTTCTAAAAACTGGAAAACTGGTTACGAAGCAGAGATGAAGTCACTGCAGTTGGCATTATCATTTTGTAGTGTGAATTCATTTGAGAGAACAAAATGTGGTAGTTTTATGTTATAGCTTCTAGCCTAGTTTTGTATAAGTTAACCTTGCATGTTCTTTAATTTAACTTAATCCTGAAAGAGAAGAAATATTTATCTGCCTTAAAAGTAAGGTTGTGAAACCTTTAGTCAATAATAAGCATAGTGGCTCTTGGCTGATGTAGAGAATTAAATAGAAAACTGTTAGAACTGAGAATGTAAGTAATAGGCAATAGTCTCTCTATTAAGGAGTTCTAGTAATTTATACCTTTTATGGATTAGGCACAGAAGGGGATTTCTGATATATTAATCAATACACTACACTAAGGTAACATGGGTAAGTGTTTTGTTTATGTCCTTGCAGTGTACAGTAGGTGTTCTGTGTAGGGACGTTCTTTTCTTCTCCACATTGATCAGGCAGGGATCTGTCTAAATGTGGATTTGAAGGATAGGTCATTCAGTGGATGAGGATTTGGCTGGATGGTCACACTCAAAGAGTTGCAGTCAATGTATTGACGTCCAAGTGGAGACCAGGGATGAGCAGTGTCCCTCAGGGGCTAGTGTTGGGACCGATGCTATTCAACATCTTTGTCAGCAACATGAACAATTGGGTTGATGTACCCTCAGCAAGTTTGCTGGTGACACCAAGCTGTGTGGTGCAGCCAACACACTGGAGGAAAGGGATGTCACCCACAGGGACCTTGACAGGCTGGAGAGGTGAACCACTGCAAACCTCATGAAGTTCAACAAAGCCAAGTGCAAGGTCCTGCACCTGAGTTGAGGCAACTCTCAAGATCAGTACAGGGATAACTGGATTGAGAGCAGCCCTCCCTTGGAGGACTTGGGGATATTGTGAATGGAAAATTGAAAGCAAGCCAGCAGTGTGCGCTTGAAGCCCAGAAGGCTAACTGTATGCTGGGCTGCATCAAAAGAATTGTGGCCAGCAGGAGGGGATTCTGCCCCTTCACTATGCTCTCACGAGACCCCACCTGCAGTGCTGCGTTCAGCTGTGGGGCTCCTAACAAAAGGGACATGAAGTTGTTGGAGATAGTCCAGAGAAGGGCCATGAAGATGATCAGAGGGCTGGAGCACCTCTGCTATCAAGACAGGCTGAAAGAGTTGGGCTTGTTCAGCCTGGAGAAGAGAAGGCTCTGTTGCTGAGCTTAGAGCAGCCTTCCGGTACCTAAAGGAGGCCTGCAAGAAATCTGGAGAAGTACTAGGCATGTAGTGACAGGACAAGGGAGAATGGCTCTAAACTGAAAGAGGAGAGATTTAGATTAGCCATTAGGAAGAAATTCTTTACTGTGAGTGTGGTGAGTCACTGGTGCAGGTAGCCCAGGGTAGCTGTGGGTGCCCCATCCCTGGCAGTGTTCAAAGCCAGGTTGGATGGGTCTAGCAGAAGGTGTCTGAAGGTGTCCCTGCCCCGACAGGCTGGTTAGAACTAGATGGTCTTTAATGTCTCTTCCAAGCCAAACTGTTCCATGATGCTGTGATGAAAATTTCACAGAAGAGTCCATGGAGAGTTTTTAGCTTGCCAGTTTTCATTCTTAATGTCATAAATACGTATTTCAGACAAGTTACATGCCTTACCATGAAATTTATTTGTCTACATTATAGTAATCCACCAGAAGATTCATATAAAAATAGAAGAGTCTTGTGAGGCTTTTTGCAGTTCTTTTTTTTTTCCCCAGAAAAGTTGTTAAAAAAAACCTTTCCTCTAAGTACATTTTTCCCAAAACACATAATAAATATACCTGATCTTTATGGAAATATCAGAGTATTCTCAGATTGCATGCACTGTTGGATGCAGAGAAATCTTTCACAATTTTGGGCTTTATTGAAGTAAATTATTGAAGCTAAACTAATGATAATCAGTGTAAAACTAAACTCTGCATGGGCACGTTGAAGATAGGTTATAAAAATAGCATATGGATAACAAGTAAGTTATATAGCTGGTTAATATTCTGAGGGTTTGAGGAATTTAAGGGAGTTGCTTCACTGGGCAGTAATGCTGAGGTTTTATTTATCAAAAATATAGTAGTTTCTGGATTGTTAAACAGCTGATAGTATTTTTCACTTGATTCTTTTCAGTAAAATTAGTATTGTTACTCAGCTTCTGAAATGTTTTTATTTAGTTTCTGCAGCTGTTCCATTGTGTGCTTTTTGTCAACTATTGTAAGCCAAGTTTCACGCTTCAGGTCTTTAGATAATATCATCTTAGTGAGAATTTTGCAGAAGGATTTTCTTGTTTTCTCAGTGGCTCAGCTAAAACCAGTGAGTGGAAAATTTTCTCAGATTGGTTTTTGAAGATACTAAATAAATCCTGTATAAATGTAACAGAAAACTGCTTTTCAAAAAAAAAAATTATTATTATTATTTTCTCTTGTACTTTTTGAGCATAAGGTAAGGGTCATATTGATTGGAAGATCACTAAAGAAGGCTAAGCCTCAGCAAGAATGTTCCAAAAAACTGAACTGAGATAAAATTGCATGTAATACTCCGGCATTTGACACATTAAACTAAGCTGAGTTCATAATACATTTGAAGAATAGTGGTTTTGTTGCTCATTTGACCATCTCTTGCTCCTTGGGGAAGCAGAGAAGGTTATAGATGATGGTGATCATGACTGGAAAAGAATCAGGTGACCCATGAATCTCCAACTTGGTGAACAGAATCTAACTGTAGAATAACTATACCTTTACATTTAAACAGAAATCCTGGTTAGAAGATGAGGAGGAAAATACACAGAACAGCACTCTATTGAGCTTCTATGTTGACAAATTACAGTCATGCCATCTTTCAAAGACCAGTTTTCTTCCCAAAATTTTGTTCAAGTGTCACACATCTCCAATATTACTCAAGAAGGGAGTTGGAATTTAAAGTTATTCCTGAATTGTGAGGGTCTTACTATTTTAAGTTCTTGTCATTGTCACAAAACAGGGTATAATAGAGCTAAAAGGCAACTAAAGATAAAAAATAAATGTAATTAGAAGTGTGCATTGAAGATTGTTCTTTTGCTCAAATCTTTTTAAAGAAGGGGCTTGTTTGGTTTTAAAGTAATGACATATATGAAGAAAATACAGCTTACACTTTTTTTTTTTTTCCTCCCTGTAATAGAATAAACCAGAAGGACATATGGAAGAAAGACTGGGGAAAAAACCCTGTGGCTTTATGTCAGAAAACTTACTCTGTTAGCAGTTTCACATTAGCAAGTTTCACAATCAGTGTAATTGCAAAGAGTCTAAAAGAAAGAACAAGCATATTGTTAATGGAATCCTTCACAGCTGGTAATAGAAGAATAATCAGAAGGGATGTAACTTCTCTTATTCATGACTTTCTTGCACATAGGATGAATCTTTGTTCTCTAAATATCGACTTCACCCTTAGCAAAGGCTTAAAACAAAAGGAAAAATTATAAGGTAGATATATTTGCAAGTAACAACTGAATTAAATTATCTTTGGAAAGTTTTGCTTCTGTTCTAGGCTTCTCAACTCGTAGTACACATTTACTGAGATAGCTGGGATGTGTGTGCCAGCTACAGTGTCGCTGTGGTGGTGGTAAGGTGCAAATGTAGGCAGGTAGTTAGATATTCAGTCTACCCTAAAGAAAATTGTTGAATTTAGGTCTAACTTTGTTAATGTGAAATTAACAAGCTAATATGAACCTTTTTTTTTTTTTCCTCATGTGGTATGCCTTCAAGCTGGATTTTTAGCAGAAGTCAAATTAAGCAACTTAAGCTACAGTTTAAAGTATCATGATAAATACCAGGCTCCTCTGCTCGTGGCTGAGCTCAGATGAGTGGTTTGTAACTTGTTAAATGTCTTGCAGTTTGTTAGTTCTGAATAATAGTACTTGGTTTTCCGCTGTTCTTTGGTGTGTAAGATCTCACATTTTTAAACAAAATAATTGTTTCTATAATGTGTGATTCTCTATAAAACTATGTATTGAAATTCTTAAGCCTTGCTCTTATGTATATGTTGATAAATACCTATTTAAATGTACTGAATTCAGTTTATAAACTGAGATTTACAAATTTGTGATTTACAAATGTGATTATTCTTCAGAGCTGGAAACTGAGATATATATATATGTACGTATATTGTAAATATTTTTCTTACGTAACTGTTTATGGCTTTTCCATTACATCTGAAGATTTCACTTTTTTTATTTTTATTTTTATTTCAGGTTTGCATCTGCAGGAGATGATGGCGATATATTTCTGTGGAATGCTCAGGTTAGCTATTTTTTGGGAGCTCTGGAGAGGGTAGAAGCTAGTTTCTTCTAACTTCTTAGAGAAGACTTAGCAGCATCTAGTAGGGAAGAAGCAGAATTAATAAGAGTTGCTGGAGGGTTATGGCTTGAAAATGTAGAAGTGGAGGGAGTCTGTCAAATCTGAGTTTACAAAGGAGAGCTAGGAAAGTAAAAGATGTGTGAACACAAGGAACAGTAAGTTCTAAAAGTTAGAATGTTTTGGAAAGACAATAGTGATTTTTATAGAGATCTGTGAGGAGTTGATGATATGAAAAGCAGAAGTGTGTATGAACTTGTGTCTTTAAGCCTTCCTTTAAAATATGTTTGGGTTTGCTGTAAACACTCAAATGTTGACTAGTTACTCAACAAATATGTAGCAATCCTGTTAAGGTTTATGTATGTACTTACGTTTTTAAGTATATTACAGTGGCTCTGTTACCGATATCTATTTGTAGTATAGCTGATTAGACTAAATGGAGAGGTGACACAAAGCGATATTGGAAAGACACCAAAGTCAGTGGAAGTTAAATCTTTCATGCAGTGCAGAACCAGGGCTTTATTTACTTGCTGTGATAAAAACTTTCTTATAACTTTTGAAAACCATACTAAGACATTAGTTGTATCAAGGAAATAGTGCTGTAAGTATGATATGTGTTCTGCTCTTCTGCTTTGTGTCTTTGTATCATCAACAAAATTGTAGAGAAGGGATGAGCACTAGAATTGTGTTAAGGAGAGCTGGCATACAAATTTGATTGTTTGATAGGAAGTCTAAAATAGATACATACTGTGCTGTCTAAACAGTGCGTATCAAACTTTCAAATTAAGGCAGAATTCTCAGACTGTAAAATTTTTAAAAACCTTATGAAAGAATTATGTGACATTTATTACTACAGCTGTATGCTATAGTAAGCATTTTCCAAATTTTACCTTAGTTTTCCATGTTTTTATTTTTCAGACCGGCGAAAAACTTTCTGAACTTCATGGACACACACAAAAAATTACAGCTATAGCACCATTTCCTTCATCAGATGCTTCTGAAGAAAAAAACCACTTGATTTTAACAGCATCAGCTGATAGAACAGTTATTGTATCCTTATATCTGGAGAAGATTCAAATTTCTATGGGCTTTTGTGTTTTTACTTTTAAATGTAGCATTGAGACAGGGTGCAGGTTGTTTAAATTTATTGGCTGATAGTATCTAGTAGGTATAATCTAATTACACTAGGATTTCACTAGTTATTGCTCACAGGTAGATGAAATCCTTGTTACAAAAGTGAATCCATAACAGACTATTATTAATATCTCATTTTGGACAAATATTGAAAACACAATTTTGGACAAATTTGGACAAATATTGAAAATCAGTATTTAAAAGACTGACATTCTCCATACCTATTTCCCGATTTGTCATTTAGTTACAAACACAGCAGTTATATTTATAATGTATTAAAAACCTTTCAGTTTCCTTATTGAATAAAGTCAGGTTTGGGATTGCAGTAGTGGCAGACAGGTTCAGAAAGTGTCATGTTTCCATTCTACTGTCAAGGTAAGTTAAGGAAAACCTAGGTATGTCTGCTGTTTTCTTGTATATAAGTACCTATTATGTGTGGCTTATGGACCATATGGGCAGGTGTGTTAAAATGAACATGAGTGGTTGGTTTAAGAACAGGTACCTAATGGGCGGCTGAGAAGTGACCACAATTCTGAATTTGTTTTTTGAATTCTTAATACCTCAGTTTTCTTTCTGAAAGGATGTAGAACAAAGGTCACTTTATGGCTTGGTTTTCTTACTGTGTTCGAAAAGGCAACCTACAGTCAAACTAATTCGTGAATGTTCATAGTAAAAAAAAAATGGAAAAAATCAATTTTTGCATTTTTGGTAGACAAATGTAACATATAGTATATAATTAAATCTTATTTCTCACGAAAGTGACATCTTAATACTGTATTTTATAGTACTTACAGCTTTATCTAGCTAAAGCTCATGATCATTTCACTGAGAAATTCCCTGTAGAACTTTTGCAGGGGACATATATCTGATTTTTGTTCTGCAGTGTTTGACAGTTCTTCAAAGACTGAATGTATGGTTGTCTGGAGGGAGTGATCTGTGTGTTTGGAACCGAAAATTAGATCTCTTGTGTAAGACCAGTCATCTTACTGATTCAGGTAAAAATGTAAATGACTCATTATAGCTGTTAAAGTGCAAGTAAAATGGATCTATATAATGATGCAAAACCAACTTGGCAAATTCTCTTTAATTCTAATGATAACATTATGTATTAAAGCCACTCTCTATTTTTTTAAATGTCAGACTTAATCATTTCAGAATTAAGGCTGCTTTTAGTCTCCTGTGCTGTGTGAATTTTAGAATATGTCAGACATCAGTAAGTGTAGTTAACTTGGACTTACAGGCTTAGACCTTGGATGCTGATTTGTACATATTTGCTCTAATGTGGACTAGATGCTTTGGCTGCCTTTCTCTGTGAGCAAGTGGGAGTTTTATTATTCCTAAGTAAAGTTTTCTAGTAGTAAACCAGTAAAGATTTCTTCTTATTATTAAGAATTAATACTTTTGATAGTGCAGATTTTGATACAAATGCAGTAAATGTAATCAGATCTTAATGTCAGTCACACTTTTCTGTTAATAAGCTAATATATTATCTGACCATGCAAAGAAAATTTTTGCATGTTATTAGCATACTTTACAAAGATACCTATGAAGCTGTGAACAAAATTCAAAGTTGGAACCAATATTTTTCATATTTTTGTCATAGAATGGAGTAGTGGTAGGCAAAAGCTTCTGAATCTTCAAGTATATTAATGCTTCTTTTAGGCCAATGTGAAATACCATGCCAAATACCAGTGGAAGTGGCACTGTAGTGCTTTGCATGAGGGGCTGCTGAAACTGTTGTACAATTGATCAGTAAGATGTGCAGCATGCACCCTCTCTTCCCTCCTAATCTCTTTCTTCCCTTATGGGGAAAGACACTGGGGAGTTTTCCTTTAATGGTGTGGCAGCACCGATTGAGGGAATTCTGTGCAGGGTGAAGGCACAGTAACAGCAAGCTGGGCATTTTATCTTGTGACATATTCTTCGGCTGGCTCTGCACAGTATTTTAGTATCATGCATACTGTGGTCGTAGCAGTATCTAGAAACTTTGGTACTGCATATGTTGAGAGTCTAAATAGTTACCCTTAATACTGTCCAGAATTAGGGCATAAATATCTTAAGTGTATTTAAAGTGAAAAGATTATTGATCCTTAGCTTCAAGTTTGACATTCAAAATTCTCCTGGATTCAGGAACAAAACTTCTGACTCTGTCTCCATCTGAGGTAGTCTGTTCATGTCTAATGCTGTTCAACTTTCACTTCAGGTAATATGCTTTTATAATACCTTGTAAATGGAAGGAAGATTATGAACAACTTTATTAATAAGGAATTAACAGTTTGCTGTGTTTTATTATGGTCAATTTTCTCCCTTATCTCCTGTGTTTTTTTCAAAGGTATTACTGCTTTGGTTGAATTGCCTAAAAATTGTGTTGCAGCAGCTGTTGGCAAAGAGCTAAGTGAGTATGTTTGCATTTTGTTAAATGTTCATATACTTCTATAACAGCTGCTTATCAGGGATATGTGTAAAGAGCATGCTGCTGGAATTCTATAGGACCAGTGAATGGTATTAGGGTGTGATTAGCAGCCTTCCTTTTTCTGTTATTTGACAGTCAGACAATGCTGATCTCATTCAGGAATTCTGCATGACAAAACTTTCCTATATTCTTTGTTACTGTTATTACTATTATTGCCACCCATCCAGATCTGATTGTGGTGTCTACATTTGTTCTGGAGAAGGTCAGGATCTCATTACCTGAGTTGTCGGATACTAGGCTTCTCTGGAGCCTCCTTATCCTGGCATCAGGAATGTGAGATACTGCCAATCTCATGGTACTGTCCAAACCTATAATGAGACAATGTGACAGTTTCTGTTGCTCAGTTGAGGACAGGGTTTTCTGTCTGTGCAAACTGTACATCATCAGCTAGCTGTTGATACAGTCTTTTAAATAGAATGTTTTATAAAAAAACCCAGGAGTGAAAGTACAGCACTGAATCAGCAAACCAGACTTTGCTCAATATGATTAAACACTTAGCTAAAAAATAGCAATCTGATATTCTGATAAGAGAATTGGGAGCAAATAGTCTTCTTGTATTTAGACATCGGTATGCAATGTTGACTTCCTTCTGAACTTCCCACAGTTCTGCAGTGCCCTTGAGCTATAAAAGAAATTCCAATATTGGTTAAAATAAAGTCTTAATTCCTGTCGCTCCTTATGGCCTTACTAGAGAATATTGCATCCTTTTGAATGATAGTTTTCAGTCAGATGAACCATTAAGAAGTATGTTTTGCTTTTAGTTTACTTATCAGTAAAGATGTTTATACTTTTCACTTCTACTTTCTGCAACTTCTGATGTAGACAGATTATCTGAATTTCAGTGTTGGTAGGCTGAAGTGTTTTAGCCTATAGCTGCGGTAGTAAGAGGCCTTAATAATAACACTGAAATAATTTATTCCAATTTTTTTTTGTGTTACGAATGGTCATAAGTGGCTTTGCACATCTTATACTGTCTCACTTATGTTTTTGTTTGTGTCTTTTGAAAAACTGTGTTTTACTTAATTATAGCTACATTTTATTCTGAATGATAAAGCTCATTTAAACAATTTAAACAACATTATCTCTCTGTATTTTAAGTAATTTTTAGGTTGATTGCTTGTAATGGTGAGTCTGAAGGTTGGAATGTCGTTGAAGTAAAACGCCTTGTTGACCATCAGGATAACATTTTGTCACTAGTCAGTGTCAATGGTAAGAGTCACTTTATAATGTAACTACTTTTCTTAGTTAGCAGTGGGATATTGCAACTATGGACCAAACTTTTAACTGGAGGGAAACTTCATAGCTAGTAGATGTACCTTTCTGTGTAGCTGAAACAGTAGTGGAATGTGAAAATATAGTGACTTTATTTATGGATTAACAGTGAAATAAAATCAGGCAGGTTATGATGTAGAAAGGGTACAAAAGAGGCAATGTCACTGGTGAGAACTCTTCTTCCTGTTGGGAAACTTTAAAATGCATTTTTTTTTTCTCATTCCTTTTGATTCTTAAAATGGAATATGCAATGTCACATCCTTTGCAGTTGTAGTCCTAAGGTAACTGAAAGTTCAGGGTGTGCAGATGAGGGCCTGCATGTAGATCTATTATTTAGAGGTCCTGGAAGGTGGTGCGATCTCTGCTGCTTGTTAGTGCAATACTGAGCTACTACCTGAAATTCTGTCTACTCTACTACAGCTATAAACCATTTGTACTTTGTTCTTCCCTGTCTTTTTTTGTTTTCGTGGAGCATCCCCAGAGCCCAGGACAAGCTATTTCTGATGTGATAGAGAATGTATATGCATTGCAGTTATTTTCTCTTTTATGATTATGAAAGGGAGAACAGTATTGGCCTTAAAAAGACAAAACGCTACCTTGTTAAGTATTGTTGAAGCAGCTTCTTTCCATGTGTGACTAACAAATTCATGAGCAGCTGCTTCAATCTTGCTTCAATTAACTCGTCCATTTAGTTTTTCATCAGTATTTAAGTTTATGGTGCTGATACCCCTCCTTGTGCAAGGAATTGAAGGGTTTTGTATATAGGCAACAAATAAACTTCAAATACTTGTACATTTGACAGGTTTCCTTGCCTTTGCTATACTGAACTGTGCCCTGTGGCTGGTGGATGTTCTCCTTAGTTTTAATTCTACAAGAGAGAGCTCATCTCCTTTTGCTCATCTGAGCTATGCTACGTAATCAAATGAATGTTCAGTCAAAGGGAGAGATTTTTATCAGTTACATACTGCACATTCTACATAGCTTCACTTGAAAATAGGCTTTTTTAGGTTTTTAGGATTGTAATTTTATGTGAAATGGTTTGTTGGTTTTTGTTTGTTTTTTTTTTAAATATAATGTGATTTGTATGTATGTGTTTTTTTTCCCCTCTAGACTCTACTTTTGTGACAGGTTCTCATGTGGGTGAGTTAATAGTTTGGGATGCACTTGACTGGACAAAGCAGGCATCTGAGTGCAACTTCTGTGACGACTCTGTTCATCCAGATATACAGCCAGAAATAAAGTTATCTCAAAGCCCAAATGAAACTTCAGTTCAACACTTAACATCTGATGAGGAGGTAAAAGGCTTTAAACAGTGAACTACTTCAAATGAGGTGGCATGACCATGACCTTACCACAGGAGGTCAAGTGTTTTGTGTTTTCAGTTTACTTGTTTTAATATGAGAGGTTTATTTAAAATGTGCAAGAAAGGGATTCCTGGAAATGGATTCAAAGACGCAAACTGTAACAAAATAAAAGCTGTGGAAAATCCTGAATGTAAGCTGAGGTCCAAATACTTACCTGATGCATTTGTCTGTGAAAAGAGCATTCCTGAAACACTGGAGAGAGAAACATTGGTGTGTTTGTGTGTCTGGATGTGTGTGAAAGATGTACTTGTCTCTGTGGTCTTATTGTGGGTGCTTTAGTTCTAGAGGGAGCAAAAGCCAGTCCTGTTCAGAAGTTCTGAAATTTGTCTTCAGAACATTCTGAATCCCTGCTTGAAAGCTACATGGATGGGTTTTAAAGGGAGGGGGAAGGAATTTTGGGAAGTTGAGAGGCAGTTAAAACATTGAGTGTGGAATCCAAGGCTGCTGAGGATTTTCTTTCTTTCATGGAAGTGAGCTAAACAAATTGCTGCAGAATATTGTTATGATACTTCTGAATCATCAGAGGAAAAGGTAGTTGTAGCATAATATCCTGAAATAGAAGGTGCTTTTAGGGTGGAGCTCTCTGTATTGTAAAGTTCCTACATAGGAATACATTTCTTCACCACTTTCTATAATGAATTACTTTGTTACCTGCTACCTAAAAGCAGAACACTTCTTCATATTTAAAAAATAAAATTGGTATTTTCTCTCTTGGGAACTATGTAGGCAGCTTGGTAGTTAAGTAACTGAAGAAGATGTCTAATTTGACACCAAGCTTGTAGGCAAAACATCATCAGAGATAAATGGGATAGTAAAGGTTTGGCAATACTAGGAAACCATGCTAAGGAGTGCACCTGCTGTCTTGATATATGTGTGTGTGTATTTAACTTGCCTGTCAAGATAGGTGTAAAATTTATGCTTTATGCTTCATCAGGTTTGAAATGACCAGAGTTTTGCTGGGGCTTGTGTTTAAAAAAAAAGAAAGAAGAGTGGTTTGTGAAAAGCATCTTACAAAGCTGTAAGGACTATATGGAATTCAAGAGCCTGTCCTAAGGCAGAAGACTGTAAGGGAGAAAAGGCTGAGATACCTAAGTGGCAAAGTGGTATGGAAGGCCATTGAATTAAGTGTAGTACAAAACCAGGAAAATAATAATAACGGGCATAGTGGTTTTGCTTGATTTAGTAGAGTGCTATTAGAAAGCTAAGCTTAGTTTCAGAGCTATTTGAGGTCCCACCACACATGTGCATAAGAAGAAAGAAACCCAACCAAACCCCAACCAAGCAAAAGCCAAAACAATCGTGTCCCCGTCCCCCCCCCCCCAAAAAAAAAACAACCCCCAAAAAAACAGCTAAAACTAAAATGCAACAAAAACCTGGACAAAGAGTTTCGAGAAGTGTCAAAACATGGTTGAATACAAATAAGTATATGGAATCTTAGTCAAAGACACTGGGTTACCAGTTTTACAAAATGTTGACTGCTTATGAGGCATTAATGTTTGGGCTGTGTAGATGGAAGCAGGCCATTCAGGGAAATGATTCAGCCTACTATCAGCTAAACACGGTAGATTCAAAATACAAATATGTACTGAATGGAAGCATTTTGCACTCCTCTGTTTGGTACCAAATATTTATTGTGTGTACGCACATGCAGTTGTCTAAAATCATTACAAGTCATGAGAGGGTCTGGCTGTTTGTGGCTTCTTAAAGCCATGATGGCTATGAAACAGAATCCCTGCACTTTTTCTGAAGAGCATTGAATGTAAAACGGTTCCAAGTTTTTGCAGTGTTGCGTAATACCTTTCTGTGAGAGAATTCCTTTTCTACACTCTAGAACCCAGATGTTTAAGCAAGACCTCTTTTTACAGCTTCAGTTAAGTTTAAAAAAAATAAGGCAAAAATGCAGAACAGCTTCCAATATTCTCAGTCTTTCTTGATAAAACAAGAATTTGTCAAAACACAGAGTATTATTTTAGTGTAATAACATAAATATTTAATTGCAGAAATGTGTTCATGTGTTTCTGCTTAGACTGTAAGGTACAGGATGACAATACAGGAATGAAACAACTGCTTAGAATATAGGAACATGTCTCTCATTTCCTCAAAAAATCAATTTTTTTTCTGTTACTTGCCGATTCCATATGTTCGGGATAAAGCAGTAACACAAGGACAGAAACAAACTGGATAATGCAGGCCAGATGACATCATAGTACTGCTGGAAATCCATTACACGGAGAGTGATCTTTCAGTATCTGTTTCTGCAAGTTGTTCCATTGAATTTTCTTTCCAGTGTGTGTTTGCTGCTGTTGGGAAAGGCATATACGTATATAATCTTCAAATGAAGCGTGTGATTGCCTGCCAAAAAACTGCTCACGACTCTTCTGTACTGCACATTGCGAAGATTCCAAACAGGTACAAGTCATGGTACATTTTGTTAATGCAGTAAAGAAATGCAGAACTTGGAAGGGTGGCTAGAGTCAGTCTGCAAAGCTACATCTAATTTCTGGGGCAGGGACATGATCTTTAGTTTGATCTGCCTATATTAGATGGAGCTTGTTGGTCTGATTTTTGAAAATACAACATGGTATTCAGTGTGAAAAAACTACAGTATGCTTAATTCACAGGCTTAGATTTAAATGACTGTTTTCAAAATTAGACCTGATAAAGCACTTTTGTCTACACTGAGAAAATATAGCTCAATAGCATTTTACTTCTATAAAGCAAAGGCCTATGGCTGTTCAGTAAATATTTTTCACTAAATATTTTGTAACAGTTGAAATTCGTTTAAACAAAAAATAGTAATAACTTCCAGCGTTTGTCCAGTTGAATTTCCAGATGTAACTTATTTTGACAGCCAAGTTGTACGTTTTGCTACTTTATATGTATCCCATAGTTGTGTTGTTAGATCCCTTTATACTCTTCTTCAATGAAGAAGAAGCCTGTCAGAAAATAAAAATTAGGGCCTTGCAAATGCATGTGCTGTTCTAAACTGTTCTAAATATGTAATGAAAAGAAGTATGTTTCTTTTTGTTATTTTCCCATAAGAAAAAAAAGTTTGTTCTTAATGAAAGTAAGCTTATGGAAGGCATTAGTGGAACTGTGTTTGCATAGTCTAGACTTGTTATTTTATGTTTTACAGAGTGCTATGATTTTAAAATGGGATTGAAAATTTGTAATTTTTTTCCACCTATTTTGCACCTGATAAAAACGCACCTTGTTTTGTATAAAACACCTGGATGTCCTGCTACATTTGAGAGTTCTAGCAAACTTGTGTAGACCCTGAGGCACTTGCTATTTCTTCTATAGAAACATCACAAGGTGACTTGTGCAGATAAGTATCCATGCTAGTCTTGCTTAACAACTGCTTTTACAGGCAGCTGATCTCCTGTTCAGAAGATGGCAGTGTGCGCATTTGGGAGCTCCGAGAAAAGCAGCAGCTGCCAGCTGAAGTGGTTCCAACAGGTTTGCATATAGTGCGGGGTAAAAAGAACATTTAAAAAGGATACTGGGAAAGCTGATGTTCACCATACAGTAGTAGAGAGGCTTACAGGCTTTGTAAGAAGAGATAATGTCTTGTATTCAACCAACTAGTAATAGATGTGGGTGGGAAACTGAAGAAGACAGGTGTACAAGCCTTCCAAGATCTGATACAGAAAGCTAGAAAGTCCAGCTGAAGCAGTTCTGTGCCATAAAATTTATTTAGACTTTACAGTTGTATCAGCTGATTAAACAAAAATCATGACCTCTCCTTGCAAACCTTCATCCACTTCTTGCCCTGAATTGTGCTGGATCCTCTTCCATGCAGGGGTAAATAGTTGCAGGACCTTGTGAAGAAAGCCAAAGAGAAGCTTGCAGATGAGCAGCTGGCACTGAAAAACGTGTTTTCCACATCTCCTTCTTGAACTTGGAATTACACTGGGACTTACTTTGAGCTGTATCTAACATCGTTTACATGCTCACTCTGGGCATCCCGGTTCTCAGGGCTAGTTGCAGGTATTTAGGAAGTGTTTTCTGCCAAGTACAGACACTGCCTGGGTAGTGCTTGCTGTAATTTGACCAGGCCAGCAGCTTCCCTGTGCTCTAATAGCTGTGGTCTTGGACTGGTGCTCTGGACAATATAGTTAGTATCATAGACTGGGAACAGTAGTGCGCTGTTAATCTCTCTTGTAGGACTTTTTTATTTTAATCCAAGCTGTGAATAATTTTCTTGGTGTATCTTGTCTACCTGGCTGCTTTTTAAATTTTTATTTTATTTTTTAAAATACTGGTTTGTTACCTGGGTTGATTTAGGAAGACTTTTTCAGGAACCTTCTCTCTTCAGTATTGCCGGTGACAGCTAATGTACAGTTCTGTTTCTTGTTGTGACAAGTGGTGTTTGGTTTCACATTGGAAATTTACAATGTCTATGATTGGAGGCATTTGAGAAAAACATACATAATGGTAAGATAGGTGGACTGCTGTTGATTCGCTCTATTTTTATATTCTAAGAATCCCTTGAGTAGTTGTTCAGTTCTCCAGTTATCTCCCTTGCACCAGGGCCGTGGTCTAGCATGTGTTTTGTGTGCTGATGGGGCCGAGGGAAGGATCAGCAAGAAAGTCTGATATGCACTGTATTCAGAACCCAACTTTCTTACTTCTGCCAGTATTATTCCACAGTTCTCCTAGGAGCTGTGGCATAGATGTATATTTTCTTGCTATCTAAATGGAACATGTGGAGTACAATATGTACACTCCAGTTTAGCTGATAGTTTTAAGTCTGAGGGAGAAAGCTAGTGGGCACTGTAAAAACAGGCAATTCAGGATCAGAAACTCGCTTGTTTATGTTGTAATGCCAGCACTCTAATGCTTCAGTGCGGGACACACGGGGAGAGACTGGCACCTCATTTCTCTCCTCTTTTTATAAAAGTGACAGTTTAGGAGGACAAAGAGAGAGCAAAGGTAAACATCACTGAGCTGCGTCTGCCTTTGCCTTTGCTGTTCAGCTAATTAATTGTGGCAGTCCTTGGTTTTCTTGTTAAATCCATCTGTTGTCTCATCCAGGTGAGTAATTCAGCATGTTTGCTAAATTAAGTCTACCTAGGACAAAAGACAAACTAGCTATGTTTCTTTGCCCTGTCAAGGTGAATAATCCAGATAGAAAAGCGTGGTGTGGGACAACGATTCTGTCATTTTGCCATGCCGACCATCCTGCTTTTAGATTTAAGTGACTCCTGTAGTTCTTTCTTTAGCTAGAGGGGAAAAAAAAATAATATTTCATTTTTGCTATTATCTCTGCTGTCCCCTGCTCCAGGGTTTTTCAACATGTGGGGATTTGGAAGGGCAAACAAGCAGGCAAACCAGGCTGCTAAGAAGATGCAGGAAAATACACCCGTATATTTCTTGGAGCTGGTTGGTGATTTGATTGGTCATTCATCAGCTGTGCAGGTAGGTGAGCTTTAGTAAGAACAAGAAAAAGTGAGTATCACTTACTGATGTAATTTGGCAGTGTTTCTTAAAGAACTGTAACTTCTGACTGGCTCTGGAGGTTGGGAACACATCAGTTGTGTAGGACATTTAGTGCAGTGTGACAACAATAATACATACTGAATTAAAGTTCTAATGAGAACTCAAACACTCACCGATGCCCAAAGATTGTGTGTGCAGATTTATCCATACATGTAGGGTCTTTGGTTTCTTAATGGGCTGCAAAACATACAGCTGGGAACTGTGTGTTTGCTCCAGATCTCATCTTAATTTTGCAATCTTAACAAGGACTCATGGGAAACAATCAGGAATTTTGTAGCCCTCTGTGCTGTGAGTCTTAACTGGTATTGGGTACTGTTCTGTGCCTGTCTGCCTAATAAATTACGTTTTTGATTTAAATGGCATTTTCTCTCAATGCTTTTTTGTGTTTGACAAACCTATTGGAGTAACAAATCACTCTCTTACTGTGGACTTTTATACACATTCTTGGCAAGAGCAGGGAGAAGGGCAGGTAGAGAGGGGAATAGTGTGGTTCTGGAGTAGTTCTTCTCACAAGTATTCATGAGATTGACTGAATTTCAGAACTGCTACTTCCAAGAGCTGAAAGCTTTTCAGTAATAGCTAAGGTGAACCTTTATGCTACAGGGATTTCTGCAAGGTTTTCTGCCCTTCTCTACCAGCTTCCTGAAAAACTGCTGAAAGAAGCCCTTATATCAGTAAGAAAAGTTGCCATTGGAGAAAGAGGACATACTGTGTAATTCAGCAAGAGCCATAGTAAAGAAGGCACATGTGGGTCTTTGCTGGGATACTGCAGGGTCACAGAGTAACAGAGATAATGGTGGGTATGATTTCCTGCAATGTTCTACATATGGAAAATTCCATTTTTAAATTCTGGGGAGACTGGAGGCTGGAAATGTTGAGTAGTGATGAAATGTGACTGTCAAAGATGTGGGTTTGGACAGACTATTCTACTGGAACTTCATAGCTAGTAAGTGGCTACTGCCAGAGCTGGTAGGCTGTAGCACAGTCCTTGGCCTGAATGCTCCCCTGGGCAGATCCCTTCATAAGCCAAAGAGTCAGGACACTGCAAACATGCCATAGTGGTATTAATGACCTGGATCCATTGGCTGTTGAACTGTGGTTAGTGGCTAATTTGAGGCAGCCTTCTGGAGGGCTCTGAAGTCAGGGATGACTACATGACTTGTCAGCTCCATTGCTCTTGCAAAATCCCTCCACTGCAGCTGTATGTTCTGATTTCTGTCACAATTGTTTACTCTGTGATCCTTCCAGTCCTGGTGATGGTAGCCCATGGTGTTGTGTGGGAAGGGGACAGTGTACGCAAGAGAACAGGATAGTGGCTTCTATTCCTAAGAAACCAGGTGATCAGAGTTCATGCAACTCACTCACTTCACTGCTGCTGACTTGGAACAAGTTTCTTCAATATTCTGTACCATAGCTTTCCTATCTGTAAGGCTTTACTGGTTTTTCTAAACTGAGATCTTTCAGTGTGAAGTGCCATTAAGGAATTGTTTTCATGTGGGGATTTTATGATATCTCAAACATACAGAAAGTATGCATTGCAATTTTGCATATTTATGTTCAAGCAAAATGTCTATTTGTTTAGTCCAGTTGTACACCAGACATCTAATCAAGCTGACAGTCTCCTGTGAGCATCATGGTAATAGTAATTGTCTCATTGCAGATGTTCCTGTACTTTGGTGAACTGGGACTGGCTACGTGTTCTGCTGACCACCTCATCATTTTGTGGAAGGATGGTGAACGAGAATCTAGACTTCGCAGTTTAACACTGTTTCAAAAATTGGCGCAAAATGGTGTTCTGCAGCTCAAATTTTAAATTGGGTACAGGCTATGTATGTGTAAACTGGGTACATGTTAAGTGTGAGTGTGAAGGAAAGTCTGAACTACTTGGAATAACTACCAGTAACTACCAGTAATATCATTTATTATATTAGAGTTATTGTTAGTTGCTGCTACTCTTCTCAAAGGAGAATTTTGCATGTTGAAACTTACTTTGCTTACTCTGTCAGCAGAAATGGTGTTCTCTTGAAACACTGAAGATAATGCTAGTTTCTAATATTATTCCTAATGTTTAAAAATATCATGGTCAGATGTCAAAATTAAGATTTGTGAAAGTCCTTAAATGGATCAAAAGTAAAGCAGCTGGGGGCATTCCACAGTTTTATGTGCAGAAAGGAAGCATATTAAAAAACACAGTCTTTCTGCTTGATGTAACATATTTCTTGAAGCTAAACTTCAGTCAGTTATGGCTGAGATATGTACCTAGAGAAAAACCCCAAAGAAACAGTTCTGAGATAGAATTCTTCCATTTTAAGTTGTTATCCTGCATAACGGTAAGTGCAAGAAAGAAAATTAGGTAATACTGGTTTGTCAGGTTTTAATTTTTTGGCAAAGTTACTCCTAAATTGCAGTAGCTGCCATTTTACTGTGGGTTAACCTACACTACTGGATTTTATATAGCACCATTATCATGTTTAGCATGAAGTTTCATTGGCTTAGCTTAGTCTTTCCACAAAACATTCATCAAATTAATTTGTATCTAATAAAAAGCACCAGTGTTACCATGGATTTTCAGGATGTAAAATGCTTTCTTAAGCAGTAGCAGTCGGTGTGTTCAGTATTAGCAAAACATTTCTGCCAGAGGAATATAAAATTCTCAGCTGAAGTTTGCAGAGAAATCTGCACCAAGTTTGTAAGTATAAGTAGTATTTTAGAGTTTAAAAATAAAAAGCATCTAAGTAAGTACACAATGCCTTTTTCGAGTCTGAGACAGCATTAGTAATCTGAAAACTAAACAGGAGTGGGAAAAAAGTTCCAAACTAAAGAACCCCAAACCACAGCAACAAAACCCCAAAAGCACAAACCCCTCCCCCCCCTCCTCCCCCAACTGATACAAAGAAAGTGAGAGGATGATATAATGAGTGGTAAGTTACCATTTGAGCTAGGGAAGGGGGGAATTGGGGAGCTTAGTGGTCATAAAGCTATGAGAAGAGGGTGCTTGAGTCTACTCAAAAGATCCAGCACTTAAACATCTTAGGAATAAGTCACTTGCAGTGTATCAGTTGAAAACATGATAAGCTTATGTTCTCAACAGTGGAAACCATGAGAACAAGTATTTAATTTTTATGTGACTGCTTTTGAGTGAATATCTGGTAGAGAAACAGAGCTATTCAGCTATTCACTCTGATATATCACCTGCTACAAGCTCAGGAGTGTTGCATCCCAACTAGAAGGAAGTGCAGCAGGAGGGCCAGGAGACCTCCTTGGATGGATAAGCAGCTCCTGAGGAAAATTCAGATGAAAAAAGAGGCTTATAATAAGTGGAAGCAAGGACAGGCAGCCTGGGAAGAGTACACGGATGTTGTCCTGGAAGCTAGGGACCAGGTTAGGAAAGCTAAGGCCCAGTTAGAATTAAACTTGGCTAGGGTTATAACAGGAAGGGATTCTACAAGTACATAGCAAATAAAAAACAGACAAGGGAGAACCTAGGCCCTGTCAGGAAGCTCTCAGGAGAACTGGCTACACAGGATTTGGAGAAGGCTGAGGTTCTGAATGACTTCTTTGCCTTGGTCTTCACTGGCAAAGCTCTGACCGCACCACCCAAGACTTGGAAGGCAGACGCAGGGACTGTGAGAATGAAGACCCTGGGCCCACTGTAGGAGAGGATCTGGTTCGAGACCATCTTAAAAATCTGAACGTGCACAAGTCCATGGGACCTGATGAAATCCATCCGTGGGTCCTGAAGGAGCTGACGAATGAAGTTGCTAAGCCGCTGGCCATCGTATTTGAGAAATCATGGCAGTCAGGTGAAATCCCGATGACTAGAAAAAGGGAAATATAACCCCCGTTTTCAAGAAGGGGAAAATGGATGACCCGGGGAATTACAGACCAGTCAGTCTCACCTCTGTGCCTGGCAAAATCTTGGAGCAGATTCTCCTGGAAGGCATGCTAAGGCACATGAAAAACAACAAGGTGCTTGGTGACGGCCAGTATGGCTTCACTAAGGGGAAATCCTGCCTGACCAATTTGGTGAGAGACCTCATAGCAGCCTTCCAGTATCTGAAGGGGGCCTATAGAGATGCTGAGGAGGGACTCTTCATTAGGGACTGTAGTGATAGGACAAGGGTTAACGGGTTAAATCTTAAACAGGGGAAGTTTAGACTGGATATAAGGAGGAAATTCTTTCCTGTTAGGGTGATGAGGCACTGGAATAGGTTGCTATTCCAGTGAATGCTCCATCCCTGACAGTGTTCAGTACCAGCTTGGACGAAGCCTTGGGTGAGATGGTTTAGTGTGAGGTGTCCCTGCCCATGGCAGGGGGGTTGGAACTAGATGATGTTAAGGTCCTTTCCAACCCTAACTATTCTATGATTCTATGATTCTATTTAACTGAACAATTCTAGTCAAAAAACTCGCTGTGTATTTTACAGGGGTGTAATTCAGCCTTAAATGGTCCTACATGCACATATAAGTATTTCTATCTATCAAAAGTGCCATTGTTCTCAGATAATGCTCTATTGGTAATAGAGCTCCCACAGGTCTTTTCCTTTAAATGTGGTTGAACTGAAAGTATTACATTGAGTTCTTTCTTTTACAGGTGAACTTTGAGCATAGCAGTGAGGCTATAGTAGCCCACTCCTGTTAAATAAAAGTTTGTCACTTGCTGTTGGAAAGTCTAGTGAGCAGAATTTGGGTAACCAGATTAGAAATTTTACTTCCGCTTTGTCCTTTTAAATTTCTTTTTCCACATCTCAGCAATGCAGAATTCCATGTTCACCTCACAGAGTTAACCAGCAGACCTGCTCTTAATACTTCTGTAACTCTGACGCAGCTGTTAATCAACTGGACAGGTCAGAATCTAGGAGATCTGACACAACTGGCAGATGACAGTTACTCTTGATTTCTTTTGCTCTTAAAAAGAACATACTGCCACATAGATTACTTTTTTATTTAGGCCTCTGTCTGTGGGAAGAAACACGGGTTCTTGCAACAAATATACTGATCACACATCAATGCCTTAACTTGTGAACCAGAACTGAGGCTGAATTTTATTTCTTAGGTTCCTTCCACCATTGCCATTTTCTTCCTTGTGACAAAAAAAATGAATGTTTTACATGGGTGTGGTTTTACAGTGTTGCTATGTTTAACAAATCAAGATAACAAAGCTTTAAATCTTCTGAAATCCTTTCCTCTAATGCAAGCTGCAGTGAGCATTTAGTCATCAGAATACTTAAGATACAGCCACCGAGAACACTAGTTCTAAACAAAGGAATGGTAAAAGCAAACAGTTACAATATAAAAACCAGATTCAATTTACGTGACTAAAAATTCATTGAAGAATGTTGCAATAGATAATAAGAAAGAATGAATAAACATACTTCACCAGAAACACCATTCTTCAGATATACACAATGCAGCATTTTAATACACAGCGACCTGCCTTAGCTATGACAAAAGTAAGGGTCTGTTACAATTCTAACAAAAATATAGCTTATATACATTTATCTGCACTTACATTTTATGAATGTTTCCTTTTGTTTCAGAACTTGGTACAAAACATACAAAAAAGGTTGGCACATTATGTAAGCTACCTGCAGTAGACAGCAGTCATTGTCACTTCTACAGCGATCTAAACTCTATGTGTTTGGTTTTGGTTGTTTGGGGTTTTTTTTTAACTTTTACTAGATTCAATTCATGATACAGATACAGCATAGGAGAGGTAAAGAGTATGTCTCAAGACCTTTCCATTTAAGGAGTAGTGGACTGCTTCTTCAACTGCAGCCACAGCTTTGAAGCTCTTGCCTGCAGCCTGGAGTGCAGGTGTTAAAAATCAGCAGTTCAGCTAGTATTTATTAACTGAATAGTCTGAGAGTAGTCTAAAATTTAAACTCATGTTCTGTGAAGGGTTAAAATGAGATGTACAAAAATACACATTTATGCTTTGGAAGCATAAGCATAAATTTTGTATCTTAAAACTAATGAAAAACTATGTTTGATTTCTAACTTATTTACATATTTTGAAATACTTTTTACCTCACAAAACAAACCAACATTTTAGTATGGGGAAAAAGCAGTACAAATTATAATGCTGTTACAAATTGTAACCTGGAAACCTCTTTTAAAAAGCAACAGGTTCATCCTAGGAGTAAGTAGCATACATGGGCTTACCATAAAATTTAGATCAGTTTAATAAAATTGATGATGTGTATAAACACCACTTTATAGAAAAGGATGTTGACCAAGTGCCACAATGTTATTTGTGTAAAATTTGATGAAACATCTCATGTTAACATCTCTTAAGATGGCAGAGAAGCATGTGGATGGCACCAATTTTATAGAACATCTGTGACTAATTTTAAGGGAATTTGACTGCTACCAGGATTTTATATGGAAAAGAAAGAACAGTGGTGCTCTAAGAGAAAGTCTGTATAATAAGGAGCTTATGTTAAATGGTGCAGGGGTTTTTTTTACTGTGTCCTGTTTATCAAGGTTACTTGTTCTACTGTGCACGTTCTCTTTTAGAACTGTTCTTCAGCTCTCTAAACCGTATCAACAGAATTGGAGAAAGCTTACGCTAGATAAGTGGGAAGTTTTTATGCTTATTTGTCAACCTATTCTTACTCTACTGGTGACGAGATTACCCCTCTGAGAAACAGCTGTATGAAGTGTTAGTGAATACAGTTGTATCAATTACAAGATTTGATAGATGTATATTCAGTATTAGAAATCAGCTTCAGAAGTAAATCTTTTGCCACAAAATGTTATTTCCAAAGAGCACTTATTAATCTGTGGATTATGTAGCCTTCTTGAAAACGTTTTTCTTTAGGATTCAGAGAAGCTTAGAAGTGAGTGAATAAAGTATTTCCTTCTTCCCACAAAGTCTCAGTTTCACTGGAAAGGTAACGCCACCCCTCTTGTATCCACGTCTGTAAGTGATTCACAGTGAAACTGGTAGATCAAGAGGTCTGGTTTTCTTGGTTTAGTGTCAGTTGTTGTTTTGTGATGGGAGCCTGACACTCTTGCACTTTAATTCATCCAGTGTTTTCCAGTGTTTGTAGTTATTAGTCAAGTGTTGCATCAAAACAGGCAGATGTGCAAATGCTGAAATGAATAGGAGGATCAGTTGTACTATGTGCAGAACAAGCAGAAGAACAGCACAACCTAATCTGAAATCAGCATTCTCCTACTTTTTCTTTTTCCTTCAGCTGTAAGCTAATGCTAAAAGAGGAAAGATCTTTTCAGTCTGTTTCTTTCTCAAGCAACTCCCTTTCTTAATGTATGATGACTTCTTTAAATTGTGCTAACACACAACCACTGTGGCCTCAAGTTTCTGCTGCTCAGAAGAAATACAATGCTAAAGGAAAAAAAAACCCTAAGCATTCTAGATGAAAAAAAGCTTAGTTTAAATCCATTACTCGTTTACATAGATTGTCTGGTAAGTGTTCAACTTTCATAACGTGTGTTGTGTGCAGTGCACTGGGTTTAACCAGCATCATTGCTTAGCTCTTATCGTGTACTACTTATATATGGGTACTGTCCCTGGAAAAAACTGACTCAAGGCCAGCTTGAGATTGTTTGGTTTAGTCTGTTGAATTCTCTGTCTCGGAGCAAGGAAACAAAAAGCAGAAGTACTTACCATCCCATGCATCGAACATATCTGTTATAAAATAATCAATGAAGGAAATTTGAGACTTGGGGATGCTGCAGGTGTTTCTATCAAATACTGGCATTACAACAGGCAGACCCTGTCTCTTCTCTTCATCAGTCTAAGAAAACAAAACTCCAGTTAGCCCCTAGAACTTTGCTGGCTTTAATGCTGGAGCAGCAAAAGCCAGGGGATTAGATGAATTGCAGTAGGAGATTTGAGTCACACCCTAGAACCCCTGAGGTGACCTGCCTTCATTTCATGTGCTTTATTTTGTCCCAACAGGGACTGAAATCAACATCTCTTCGCTCTGTTACTCTCCTGCTGTGATTGCTTTTAGCTCTAGTAAGACAGAATGCTCAGCTCTGGTGGTTAGGGCACATCAGCTAAAAATGGGAAGTGGGGTTGCAGCATTCTTTAGCAGAGGGCTGTTTTGATCACACAAAGGTTGAGGCTGGAAGGGACCACTGGGGGTCACCTAGTCCAATTTCCCTGCTTAAGCAGGGACAGCCAGAGCACATTACTCAGGACTGTCTCCAGACAGCTCTTTAATGCCTCCAGGGGAGGAGACTACACAGCCTCTCCAGGCAGCCTATTTCAGTGCTCAGTCACCCTCACAGTAAAAAAGTTTTTCCTTGGGTAGAACACCCTGTATTTTAGTTTATGCCCGTTGCTTCTGGCACCACCAAGAAGCATCTGGACCCATCCTCTTGACACCTTCCCAGGGATCTCCTTTTTTACCACATCTCTAGCGTCTGTTTCAAACCATTTGTCTTTTAAGAAGAATGTTGCTGTTGCTACTTTCTCTGTGTTAGGTTATAAGATGAATAGAAGTAAGGGTATGCCCTTTAACTCTGTGGCCACAACTGAAAGAGGGATAAGAATCTCTCAGTTGTTCAACTAAAGATCTGGTAGAGCGTTTCAGGAAAGTGGTGCATTTGTGCACCAGTAGGAAAACTGATTATTGAGAAAGGAAGTTGAGCTTCCATTTCTGTCCAGAGAGATCCCATTTATTAAGTTTACACTGCCCATATGTCTGCAGTACTGGCCTACCACATCGTCTGCCTACTGTGACGGTAGTTCAGGTGCCATCCTAGAAGAGAAAGGACCAGCCTGATGGCTCAGCGGAGGGCTTCATCAAGCAGGATCTTCATGCTCTCTTCAGGGAAGGTATTGGGACTAGAATGTTGACAATCTTGAATTTCAGCCAGTTAAATTGACCAAGGCTAATCAAATAGTTTTTGTTTAGCCAGATGGAGAAAGTATAAAAGCTCCTTTTCACCATTTTGTACTGCAAACTTTGTGGTAAGTAAACTAGCTAACTTAGACTAGAGTGAATTCTTCTGTATGAAACTGAAGGTCTGGGGACAAAAAAGCATACATCTGGATCCATAGTGATGCCAGGCAGACCCCATGTGGAACAGAAGACCTGTTCATGTGTGCTTTTTTACCTAACCCATTAGTCATAAAAATACACATACCTGTGCAAAATACTCCTCTGAAATCCTCCCTGCCCATTCGATACACAGCTCTAGGGGGCGACACGGATTTGCTACGTCTGCACATTTAATCATCATACGCTTGATCAGTGTCTGGTTATCTGGAAAATTCTTTATATTGGCTGTACATTCACAGTCACTGCCTTCACTCTGTAAAAGAGAGTTGGTTTCAGGAGTCAGTGGCCAGTATCCCTGGCAGCAGGAGCAGGGCATCATTATCAGTTCCATTGCACTTGTAGGCAGTAAGTAGACATGCTGCCTGAAGCCTTCTAATTTCATACAGAGCACCAGGAATTTGGAGGAACTGCGAAGGAGAACGGCAGCCTTGCTAAGTAACTAATTAAAGTCCCATTACACATGACAGTTGTGGAGATTTTCATTATTAATAGCAAAGTCTGTGAAATAAAACAATCACAGGCTCCTAATTGGGTAGAGTGAGTTACCCTTCTATGCATCCCACCCTTGCCGTCTTGGAACAGGACCAGGACGGGATGCATCCACCAACTGTGATGTGATAAATGGTCCTCCTCGCTGAGCTGTTTAGATTTAGGGATGGTGATAGTAGTGGTTGCTTCATTTTTTTGGTCTTAGTTATCAGCTAGGATGAGGTTTTAGATAATCTTTGAAATTAACAGTAGGAAAACACAGGAGTGGCAGACTAACTGCGGGGAGTCTCTGCTTTCTAGGCAGTAAAATACTTAAACTGCTTATCGACTGCTCTTGAGAATGGGTGAAGGGACAAAGTAGTGGTTACAAGTCTGCTATAGCATCATCTTCTGCGTCTTGAACAATTTAGAAGGGCACAGGTATATTATGTTCCTTATTGAGTAATAAAAAGCCTCTACCTCAGCTCACTATGGTATTAACACTGTTCTCAAAATAATGTGTAGTTATAGCCCCTCTTCACTGCAGTTTCAGCTGGAGTAAAATCCCGAGCATAAATACTTTTTACCATCATGGCTAAATTAACGTCTTTGTGGTTTATGGGGAGATATTTTGCAGTGACTCTTGCCAATTCAGACATTAATCTTCTAACGTCATGTTTAACAGTTATTTTCTTTTCAGCATGCTGAAAAAGATGCCAAATTAACGCTGCTCCTTAGCTGCTAACCAAAAGTAGGAAAGAGCCACCATTAACCATGAGGAACAGAACAACCTATTATCAGGGGAAAAAAATCAAGCCTGCAATACAAGTGTTTCTGTGCTCCACTTTTATTGCCCTCCAATTCTTGTACATTTTGAAACAGACTCTGCTATAAACTGGTAAGATGAAAGAGAATGAGTAAAAAAAAAGTATTTAAGAACAGCTCTTTACGAAGTGCTGGAACAAATGCATTCATGGGATAAAAGCAAGATTCCCAGAAATATGTTCAGAGCTTGGAAACACGTGGTTTCAGTGAGGCTTGTGAATCTAAGTCCCACAGGCCAGTGTGGGGGTACCAGAAAACTAAAGACATTTTAAAGGAGTGTAGATTGAGGAGACATTTCAGAATAATTCTTAAACTGTCAGAGGGAGAAATGAAGCACTGTGAGAAGCCACATTTCCCAGTGACACTTCAGGTGCCTTTTTTAGAAACCAGTGGAAAAAGTTGCTATCTGGTCACCACGTAAGTACAGAGAAATCTGAGTAGTATTTCCACTAATGTGGACCCTCCTTTCCTCTGGGCCTTGATCTAAAGTGGGATCCTCGCTGTCCTGGCTTAGTCCATGCCTGGAGGACAAACCCATGAAACACAGCACGAGGTGATATGCTGGGAGCGCCATGCAGAAACAGTGATAGGTGCCGTCAGCAGTGCCCAAAGCATGTCCCCTGTGCTGTGGGACTTGTGACACTGAAGATGATCAGGCTAATTCAGACCCAGTGCCACATCCAGTGAGGCCTCCAGAGACTGGAAATGCTGGGGCATACAGTGCAATGTATCCACAGAATCCATGAAGTTCAGCTGTATTTGTGATTTCCAGCTCAAACTGCTGGGCGAACAGAGCTCAGCAATCCCTAGAAGCAGGTCAGTTAACTGATGCAATGCTGTCTCCAAAGTTGTAAACACTGACTGGTTTCTGCGCCCATGACAATCTATGGAGCGAGAATCTGCATGACATGACAACCTACAGTGCAAAAAGTCTAGTTATGGAGAACTGACAGAAGCTACTTTTATTTATTTTTAATACCAGTGACCTTCAATTTGGTCTTTTTTTTTTTCAGTCTTTCTAAGCACTGTTTTCGCTAAGCTGTGATAAGATGGTATTTGCTTAGGTGAGTAACAGTGCCTTGGAGAGCACTCCAGGCACTCAGCACTCAACTGCAAGTGGCAACAAGAGAAGATCAAGAGGGGCCTGGGCTGGGAAGCCTGGAAGCATCTTATGAAAGGTACCCTGGCTGGTGATGGAGCATGAGGGTGTATAACTGATGGGAATAAAGATTTGGCCATTTCTTGGTACAGTGAGGAATGGGGATGGGGTGAAGAGCTTGAGGGCTCCAGATTACACTGACACAAAACTGCCAGGGCAGATTCCTGAGTTGCAAGCATGGGTTTAGGCAATCCCACTGTTTGGAGGTGGGACCACAGGCTCAAGGGCAAATCTGGTGCCATGTGCAGAATTTTGCATGAACAAAAGAACCCACCCACAGGTTTTCTGAACACAACTGGCTTTTGAAGGAAAGGCTTGTAAAATGAAGTGTTTAAATGAGCTAAGGGCAGAGCCAGACATAGAAAAGAAAACAGCAAAGTATTTTTTCACAGTTTGAGATGTGAGGTCACCAACCCAGCTGCATCTTTTGGCCACTACCACAGTGCAAATTAATACAACATGAATGAAAACAACACTTAAAGTTGTCTCTGAAGAACTTCACTGAAATGCCTGAAGGCAGGAAGACCTGCAGCACTTACGTGTGAACTGGTCTCCTCAGATGCCATTGGCTTGTTGATACTGTTCACAAATTTGTTCACGTGCTCGAAGTGCTTCGTCATCTCCGTGGCCAGAACCATATCAATAATGGCCTGGCGCAATGTCCGGTAGCGATTTCTGGGGAAGAGAAAAGAGTTCCTGCTTGCAAGCCTGACAGACAGAGCTCCATCCTTTCTCATCCCTGCCCAGACTGCACTGCAGAATGCTGCTTGGGAAGAGCAGCACTGGAGGAATGGGCTGTATCATGCTCCTATGGCTTCCTCCAGCTCTGAATTCCCGTATTACCTAGGTTTTTTTGGTTGGTTTGTTTTGGTTTGTTTGGGTTTTTGTTTGTTCTGTTATTTTTACCTAATGAAAAGCAATCCCCTGGAGTCAATAAAAATTTACAGCTCAATTTCGTAATTGTAACACTGTAACACTAAGACAACTCCCCCAGGAATGGCACCAACACATTTCCATCTCACTCTATGTTAGCTTGGAATCAAATCTCAGGTTTTTCAAAACCCAGAAGTGTTATAAAGTGCAGACAAATTCATCACCTTCCTGAGGTCAGGCCCCGTCACCTTTCTCTTACACATCACTTTCTCTCCACCCTGTCCCTGCAAAAGCTAGGCTGATGCAAGGGGAACTCCCAGGCTATGTGCACACCCAGCAACAGCGTGTTTCCAACTCTCCCAGAGGTTTCAGCTCCTTCCACTTACCCCCCTTTCTGTCCCATGTGAATGCGGCAGTGCCAGCAAGCATAGGGCCACACGCAGGCACATCTAGCTGCTTTGAAAAATCACGCCTACATGGGATTCTGGAAGAGGTAAAATATTGATGTCTTTATCTAAATTGTATTCCTGGTTTAGAAGGTAGGCTCTCAATCCACCTCAAACTAAAATCACCAAAGAAGCAACTCACACACACACTCCCCTTTCTCCAGCAGACCCACCTATCAATGTTCTTGAAAATGTTGCATTTGCTGTCTTTAATTGTAAGCTGAAATGCCAGTGCTGTGTGATGACTCTCTAATACAGCTGTATCATTGTAAAGGACAGCTAATTCACTGCCCGCATTGCACAGGAAAGAGTTGGTCCGTCCGGGGTGGTCTACATCATGAATGGTGGCAGCTATTAGTGCAGCTACTTCATCTAAGTGGTCGAGACTTCCCTACAAGAAGAGAGAAAAATTATGATGTGGCACAAAAATTAAAGTAAATAACCTCTGATCATTTCCTGGTACCCACAAACACTCAAGTGTAAGCTTGACTGCAGGGATTATAATTCTTTACACTTATTTTCCATGCACTCTGCCCACAGGTTACCTACTCCAAAACCCTCCCCCCAAGTTACCAAACCCTTTTTTCCTTAACAAAGCTTTCTACTGTGCTGTCACCTCAACCATATCTTTGCATTAAAATTCTCTAATGGTGGATGGATTATCTAATGGTGTTCTTCTACTTTGTGTGCTTGCCTGAATGCCTCTGTATTGACTCTGTTCCTATACAGCTCGTGTATTTTAGGATAGGAGAGGATGTGATATTTCAGTTGGAAGAGACCTAAAATGATCAGGCAAGTCCAACTGCATGACCACTTCAGGGCTAAACAAAAGTTACAGGATGTTATAAAGGGCATTGCCCAAATGCCCCTTAAACACCAGCAGGCTTGGGCATTGACCCCCTCTCTAGAAAGCCTGTTCCAGGGTTTGACCACCCTCTTAGTAAAGAAATGCTTCCTAATGTCCACTCTAAACCTCTCCTGGTGCAGCTTTGAACCATTCCCATGCATCCTGTCATTGGACCCCAGGGAGAAGATCTCAGCACCTCCTTCTCCAAAGCTTTTACAAAGCCTTATTAAGAGCTGTTAGTAACAACCATTTACCAGGTGACAGAAAAGAGACGGGTATCCCCTCTATTCCTGCTACTTAAAAATGCAAATTCCTTACTCATATAGACTTTAGATAAACTGTGTGGGCAGTTTATCTAAAGATTAACAGGAATACTTCAGGGGCAGAGAGATGTTATGAAGCCAGGACCATTATTAAAGAAAACAGCTGACTTTTGAATGACAGACATATGATGGCAAACACACTGAGACACACCTTGACTCTCTCCTTCCTGAGAAAGAAGGCGGTAGCATGCAGGACATCTGCTGCATGCGTGGAGTTGTGGTATGAGTTGGAGGAGTGGTAGTTAGCTTCAATCATTTGCAGCCACGCTCGCAGTGTTCCTTCTGAACAGTTTAAAAACTCAGAAACCCCAAACCGGGCAAAAATCTTTAAGCCCAAATACACTAATGGCCTGCAAAACAATAGAATTAAAAAGCACTGCTGTAAAACAGGAACTTCTGACGTTCTAAAGAGAGAGTTTTGGTAAAGGAACCAGTAAGACCTTATATATGAAAGCTGGAGGGGAATGGTAAACAGTTTTAAACTGCACACCTACAACCTCTCACAAGCCTGACCAAGGTTACAAATCACTATATCTGCTATCCTTTCAGACACCCTTTCAGTAGAAAGGCCACTGTTCCACTAGAGTTTCACCAATCCTTCTGGCTTCAGAAAAAAATTTAAACGCTCATATTTTTCCTGAGGAGAAAAAAGCAGACTTTGAACATGACGCAGGCACATCCCAAAGGCTAAAATGATTGAATGTCTGTCCTGTGGCTTCAGGGGGTCCAGATTTCTACTTACTGGCTGTTTGAAGTTGGCAATATGCAAAGTGTATTGATGTCTCCCAGAGCAGTTCTTATTTCATATTTCATATGAACTCTTCTAGTTTTAGGACTGGATCACTTTCTAGAGCTGAGGCATGAATCTGTCATCAGTAAACTGCCCTCCCTTGAATTCCACATGCTAACAGGCAGTAGGTAACTGCTTGTGTGTGTGTCTGTAGGGGCTTAATGTCTAAAATAGAACTTCTGAACTCTCAAGCAAAAGCCTTCTACTTTCTTGCTTCAAGCGATATGGGCTGCACCAAACAGAAGTGGCATGTCCTGAATCCTAACCAGTAGTGATCTCCTGGCTGGAGAGGGAATTCGAGGTCTGGCAAATGTGATTCTGGGGAGGACAGCAGCGAGCTGGTGGGTGAAAGAGCAAATAGAGTAAAATCTCTAATCCTTTTGGTTCTTAAGTCCAAATTCACTCTGGGTTGTCATTTACTCTGTGTGGCCTGTGACAGAGCCCCTATCTATCAGTCACATTTTTCACTCCTGCAAGGTGATCTACAAAGCTCCTGAGCTGAGAAAGGCATAACCAAAAGCCAACATCTGCAAATTAAAAACAGGCAAATGCAAATTTCAAAAATGGCCACTTTCTCCAAGCAGAGTACAAAAGTCCACGTAGTCTCTCCAATTCTTTGCATCTTGGAATGAAAATAACTTTTGCCTGTGCATGACATGTTTATTTTTGTGGTCTACATGACCTCAAAACTACTGGCATTTTCTTTCATCATAAACTTTAAAAGGTCAGGCTCTTGACCCTATCCCTGGTTTATCCTCTATCTCAGCTTTTCATCCCTATAATCAAAAGCCACAGTTGCCTCAGAGCTTCCTAAATCATAGGGGGATCTAGGTGAGCAAAGCAAGAGGCTTGCTTTTTCCAGCAGTACCATTTGCATATCAGCAGAAGAGAGGGGCATCTGTGGGGTATCCAGCATGTAACAACACAAGACTATGCCAGACATCGTCAGCTGGACAGAGTGGATGGGAGTCATGTCCCAGACAACCCTGGAGGGCTGCAGATGCTGTCAGGAAAGACAACAGGCTGCACAGCTCTATCCATGACCATCGTGCATGCCTGGCTTGTTAAATGGGACCGTGGTTATCAACACACACACGCAAAGAAGACTGCTTTCACACATTTGCTGTGCCTTGTGCCAAAGCAGCTACAGCTCTTCAATAACCTCTTTGCAGTCACTCCGGGAAAGGAGTCCAGTACCTTTTATTTGTAACAGCCTCCAACTCAAAAATATTGAAGTCCCAGCTTTCCTCATTATCCAAGAGCTGTGCAATACAGGGCGGAACATCATTGATGGTGTTTGGCACTGAAAGGTGACTATGGCTCAGGTTCACATCTGTTGAGATGGATTTTGGGAATTACAACATTCCTGGATTATTTTTACCTCCCACATGCAGACTTCCATTTAGAAAACAACTCATTTTCAAGTAAAATAACTCTTTTCCTTCGATAAAAAAGTCTGTAATAAAGCCTACAATACACATAGCTTATATTATTATATGTGATTTGGACATAAACTAAAAAGATCAATGAACATTTCTTTGAGTGACAATTTAGTATTTTCCTAGTCTTATTTTCTACAGTCTTATTTTTCTACGGTCTATTGGCTTTTCTGTAGTTTTTTCTTACTTCTTTCAATCTGCTTCAATTCCAGAACGGAGGCAGTCTAGTACTTGTTCTGCAGTCAGTTAGGAACTGTTTCCAAAGATGGACATCCTATTGCACATTAGCTACCAGCATTTAGCAAAGATGTTACATATGCAAAGGGAAATTTAAAATGGTGGCTTACTCTTAGAAAACACATACTCATTTCCTGACAGTCTTCTCAAGCCATCCTGAAAAAGCAAATTTACTGTAAGTTTTAGGCAGAGCAACCATCATTAATTGCTAAAACACTACATTCACTTTTTCCTCAGCTACTATTCCTATTGTAGCACTATAAGCACCATCCTTTTTTTAAGTTCTTTTAAAACAGACATGAAAGGATCCAAGGAGCACTAGTCTGAGATCTCCAGAAAGGACATTATGAACTATACAGTGTTTTGCCCTCCTTGACCCTTTCATTGGCACCTGCAGGATTTCATCATTCAAATTAGCAACTATAACTTATTTTTCATTTTCTTTATATTATTTTGACAAGGATTGGCTCAGTGTATGTTAAAAAATCAAGTATTCATTGATGAAATCTAGGCAATCTGTCTCTGGCAGACAGTGTTGCTGCTATTACAGGACCAAAGTCAGAACCTGATTAAAATAACCTTCCCCTTACACTGGACCAGCTGTAGAGCAATCCCTCTATTCCCATCTAAGCTTCTAGGATTCCCAAAAAGTATTTCCTTGACACAAATCAGAATGGATGATACAGTTTTCAGTGGCAACTGTGTTCACTTATGTACGAGGACGAATGCACCGAATGGACTGAAACGTGGCCATATCTGACTACATCTTGGGGTCTACTGTTCGTAGAAAGACCAAAATACTTAAGTGAGATGGTGATGAATTATGAGTCCCCTTCCCATTGCTTGTGAAGTTTTATCACAGCAGAGCATTGAACTGTAATGTAGGGCACTAGTAGTGGTAATTTCATCTTTATTAATTTTACTCACAGTCATCAGACCTCCAACAAGATCACTTGTGTGAGGATCTTCATCTTTGGTACCTAGCTGAGGGGAGTAAAGTTCTGTTGTCCTCAGGATTTCCAGAACCCTGTCCAAGGCCTCTGCTACTGTGATGGGGCTGTTTTCCTGGGCAGCATTAATTATGTTAATAACCTGAAAACAGATTAAAGAGGCAGGTGAGGAAGACTGAATGGCACTTTTGTCTTTTCTTATTAGAAAATTTTCATCCTTGGCTTGATTATGCTACTTCCCATTCAGGAAGTGCTATGTTTTTTCCTCAACCCTTAAAGTACAACTCTGAAAATGTGAATTTGTGCTCAGATTCCCTGGTGTCCATCTGCTATTTATAACTGGGAAACTCCTGGGAAGTGAAAGCAGAAGGGGGTGGGGTATCTGAAAAAATGGCAGGTGGGTAGTCCAAAAACTAGTCATGTCCCAGTCCCTCAGCATAGCCAGGGCTGCTCAGAAGCAATCATTCAGCATCTAGAGGAAAAAACAACAATAACTAACAACCAGACTCCTGGATGTGACTCAGATATCCTGATACTGGATGTAAAGCCTTAGTTTATCAATGTGAAAACTAAGTGCAGAGAGCAGAAACAGCTGGGCTATGGTTTCGGGAGAAGATAGCTCTTCTCTGCCTCCCACCTTGTGTCTCAGCTGCAATGAGGGAATGCAGCAATGACATAGCAGCAGCAACGACTGCAGGGACTGAGGGAGAAAGCCCCAGTGCTCTCTTCTGCAGCGACCAGAAGCTGCTGTGGGTGCACTGAAGGCATCTGTGGGTGTGCTTGGGGAGAAGGAAAAGGAAAGTTGTCAGCTGTTCTAGCAGGAAGGTTGCGCTGGGAAGTAAAGAGCTTGGTGGTAGGAAGAGAAGATGGGGAGAGGGGGAAAAAACCACTTTGAGAATCAGAGATGGCAGGCACCTTGGTTTGTGGGACAAGTGATGTGCAGCTGCTTTGTGACAGCAGTCTGTACAGCACGGATAGTGAAGGAAAGACTGCAGGAAAATGGAGGACAGAATATGGTGTAGGTGCTCCCTCCTCTTCATGCTATCTTTTAAATATCCATGGTAAAAGCAAAGGTGAGACTGGAAGCACATGTCCTCCTACACATGCATGGCTCAACAAAGCAGGGTCCTCTTCCTGCCACAAGCAGTGCCTCTTGCAAGGACACCCCTTTCCCCTGTTTATTATTCTTCCTTTTGGCTAGGATTTAGAATGAGATGTAGAAAGTAGTAAGAAAACTAAAGAAAAAAAATAATTTAAGTTATTCTGTTAAATAAAAGGTGCATGAAACCCCTAGCTGTCCTGCCACAAACTACAGCGTTCCCTATGAGAGAAACTGAACTCCGAGTCAGTGGAAAAGGTAGTGCTCAGGGCTCACCTTTGTAATAGGAGCTTCTATTGTCATTGAGTGGATCCTTGCCATGGAAGAGTACCGTCGGGTTGGTAAACTTGGAGCTGCTGTTAAAGAGAGCACTGTTTAAGTGCCACAGAGTGTAAATCAGGTGACAGCACGTGAAGAGTGCAGAAGGTTGCCATTGGGGAACAGCACAACAAAATCCAGCCTCATCTCCCATTTCTCCTATATCTCCCTTTCTGCAAGTTCTTGCTTTACTGTTTCATTTTTTGCACTGTTGTCTACCTCCTTTGCAGCTACCCCTCACTTCTGCTGTCAGTTTTTCCATCCATCCTTCACTTCAGCTGTAGTGAAATGAAGCTACACTTAAGCTATATTATACTTAATGCTCAGTACCTGCCACTTGCCCTTTGCAATGAGTCTCTGTCAGTGATGACTCCTTCTGTGAGAGTATGTCCCTCATCTCAGTGATACAGCTGCTGTAACAAAAACCATTCCTGCTCCCTGTAATCTCTGCTTTCTCACTACATACTGGGGCAGAAAGAAATCTCTGCCATCACTGTCCCAGCCCCAGCAAGCAGTTACAAATGGGATCAGAAGCAGAAGTACTGCTCTCAAGTTATCAGCAGCAATAGATCCCTTCATGTCCCACACTAATGAAAAAAAAAGTACTGGTTCAGGAGCACAAGCTGCAGCTTTCTGAGAGAAGTGGAGTTAATGCTTCACCATGCACTCTTTTAGCAGGCTGCCCCTATCCCACAGCACAGCTACTCCTCCTCAACTTGAAGGCACTGAATGCTGCCATGCATTGTATATTGACGCTGGTACTCAGGTTTGGGAACTGTTTTGCAAATAATGCTAGAGAAATTTTATAGCAGTTATAAAAAAATGGAGTGATCTCTTTAATCAGATGTGAATCTGTCTGGCTCCTCTTTCATTCCACATTTGTACTGCCTATGGCAAGTCTATTCTTTATTTATAATGTCATTCTGGACAGTTTACTTTCTTACCATCACTACTTTGAGATGTTATGGACTTAACATCAATTGAGTCTTTCCTTCTGTTCTTGCATTTGAAGGAATGGGATTCTGTAAACACAAAACAAAAGCTTTAAAAATTCATCAAGTAAGACCTCTACAGAGACTCCTCCATCTAAAATTCTGAACATCTCATTAAATGACCTTAACAATACCGCATTAGTGGGGGAAATACTGTAATCTCTGCACATCAGAACAAGGGACGCACTGTCTATCACTTTGTCTGAAGTGCCTGGAAAGCTGTTTTCTCAAGGAAGTCCAGATGCTGTGGAACAGGGGACTCGCTTGACCTAAGTTTAACTGCCTAAAAGCAGCAATTTTCAGGCTGTCTTTGTCTAAGGTAGTTGTCAGAGATCCTGCTTTAGAACAGATGTCTCAGGCAGGTGGCTTGAACCCCTCCTGCAAGTCCCTCTTGTTCTTCACTGACCATTGAACAACCCTGAGTTTACCTGCCTAGAAATTTAGCCAATTAAGAAAAAATTATCATCTCCCATGAAAGCCTCTACACTCTTTCAGCCCAAGCACAGTTCAGACTCTGACAGCTTCTGCTTTTAACTGCAATAATTTTTTGTACCCTGTGTGTAAGAAAAATCCAACATGCTGAGAATGATTATAAACAATCAATTCAGTTGCTGTGAAAATTAACTACGCACCAAGCTGTCATTCTTGAAACTGCCATTTGCTAAAGCAAGAGAAATTATCACATCCAGAAATTATCACATCCAGACAACTCCAAAAGTGGGATGAAATGCCTGGAAAGAGCCTCAAAAAAAAAAAAAATTCCTCCAAAATATTACACTCTCCCTTGTGTTTAAAAACAGCAACCACGTATCTACATATCTCTGCAAGAATAGGTGTAGTACCTGTTCCCAGAGTATCTGAAATGATACTCCAAGATCAGAGACCCCAGAAGGGTTTCAAAAAAGAGATAACCATCATGTGAAGAATCAGAGATATTATAAAATTGATACTCCCAACATAAGGACCAATTAGCATAACACTGTTAGAAGACACGTTACATGCACCCTGTCTTTGGCACAATAAAATGGTAATATACAGTTCTCCAGAATTAAAAAGTTATGCATCTTATGAATTACTGATATACAGTTTCTGTTTGTATTTCAGATTTACAGGACAGCTTGAGTTTTCTTATTCTGTTGCAGTCCAGACTGGAGAAACTGCAAGCCTTTTCCTCTGTTGACACCTAAGAGCAGGGCATAACTAAAGTGTGTTACATGATTTTAGTTATTTATTTGATAGGACTTCTCTTTCGAATCCCTTTCCTGCAGTAACATTTGGAGGAGTTTAACATAAAGCACTTAAATGGGAGCAAACATTTTTGCATAAACACAACTGGGAGTGGCAGTAGCTGACAAGACAACTCTCCTCATGTTAAATACCAACTAGCAAGTCTAAAACTTTGCCACCTGAAAAGTCACAGGGGTATAGAGGCTGCTTCATGCCACCTGACAGTTCTGGCTGAAAATATTTAAATGCCTAAATAAGAAAAATGTCCTTTGCCTGGTGAGCTTAATGTCTCCCTATCAGATTTATTACAAATCAAGCCATCACAAGCAGCACGATACACACAGAGTATTTTCTACGCTCATCACATACTGGTATATGCCCATGGCTCTGGGAATTTACACTTGGAACACAACCACGGACAGCAGGGAAGGATAACCTGCATCACATACAAGACTCTAAGGTTGCCTGTCTTTACTGCACAGTAGCCATCAGTGGGATGTGGGTCCACAGTCTTGTTGAAATCTGTCACTATAATAAGCAAACCTAAATGCCCGCATTATCTGTAAAGCACATTAGTAAACTAGTAACAATGTGTTAAGTAGTTACAAGCATCCTTCATCTTAATCATGGGTGTTCTCAACTTCCTCTTTGAAGGAAGCAGTGAGAAAGTAAAATTGCATTTATTACAAGGACACAGGAACAAGCAGTTTAACACACCGTGGATCAGTTCTGATGGCCATGGAAATGAGAACAGCAAATTGTATATATTGTCTCTTCTTCCCCCTGCCCATTATTATTTTGCACCACAAAGATCTCCAACATTTATGCTGCTTGAAAAGGTAGGGGATGTCAAACAGTCACTTCCCATCTATCGGTATGTTATATCCTCCTCTCGTGCGAAAATCAGAAGCTGCCTGACATTGCATAGCAATGTTGTCCAGTGTTTCACAGCAGGAAGAACCTCAAGGTGCCAGAAGGTAAGAGAGCATGAGAATCTGTTCACTCAGAATAAAACAGCAGTGAGCATCTGACTCAAGATTGCTAGAATCACAAGCTTAAAATCGTCCTTTAGTGCCACCTTCTTCAGCAAAAAGTGTTATTCCAAAGATAAGACAGCAACAGACGAAGAGATTATCCCCTTATGCTCTATACCTTTAGTCAAAAACTATCTGCAGAAGTTACTGAGAGCTTGAATGTACTGCCTGCAAGCAAGCAAACCTGCCCAGGAGACAGGTTCTTCAGACATGCTGTGACGACTCAGAGCTGACTGGACATGACTAGTTCTTACCCTGGCTCTACAGGCAACTATCTTAGTTCAGTGCTGGAGCCAAACCAGTTACCTGCTGACAAGTTCTAACTTGAAAACACTAGGGCAGATCTGGCACAAATCAGCACAGTTCTACATTAATTTCAAACACAAAGAGGTGCCAAGGTACACCAGCTTCAGGATCTGACACAGTGTTTTAGTACAATGAAGAGCAATACATCTTAACTTCGAATGCACGGGAAGAGCTCTGCACAGGATATGGAATTATTAATGATGGTTACAAATCCAATTCATGGTGCAACATCAGAGCAGCTGGCATCCATCGCTGGCCATCTGCTCTGACCACTAACTTGACAGAGAGAAGAGACAACATTTCATACCAGGAAAGAACCTGGCCATGACCTCAAGTGCAGCGGTGTATGAAGGTAAATGGTAGAATTCTAACCTGACTGAGAATTGTCTCCTGTATAATTCTCATCACGGTGACTCTTGTAGAGCTGAAGATGCATGAAGAGTGAAATACATATGTAAAGAAAAAGAACACAAAAATATTTTAAAAGGGCTACGTTCAACACTGTCCTTATCCAGCATTTTCTGTTCAATTTAAAAAAATAGTGTTTGGAAAAGACTCTTCTTTAGGTGTAATCAGACGTAGAGAAATAATATGAAAGTAAGCAGATATGCAATGCAGAAGATCACAGATACAATTGTGCTTTTATGTACTAAGTTGCTGTTTAATGCTTGTGCCTGCAACAGAACTTACATTCATTTTTAGATAGTGTTTGAAGTGCAAATTACATATTAACCTGAAAGATTCAAGAAATAAAACATACACACACACACACACAAACATGTAAGTTTACTTTTGCCCTCTGTAAAATAATTTAAAAACCATTTTCTTAGTACTATTTAATTTTGTATGCATCTTTTCATGGGTGACTGATAAATTGGACTTCTAAAAACTCAGTTACAGAAATCACTCTCCAGCAACTGAAGGGTAGAAGTAGGTATCATTTATCAAGACTTTCTTTATTTCCTAGTAATTTTTAAACATTCTCAGAAATGAAAAGTTAAAAAAATCTTTATTCTTTGTTCTTCTGACACATATTGGGTAGCTCCACTGAAAGATAGTTCAAACTTTCCTAGTATCTGGATAGGGTATTTCCATCATCTTGAAGTTTATGCCTATTGCTTAGCCTACAATAACACAGAATAAATTCTCCATGTTTTTCCATCCTGCTAGACCCAAAAAGCACAGTCTGTCCATTACATGACAGTTTAATATCTGCTAATCACTTCATTCTGTTCCTTCGTTACACAGGTACAAGAAAGTTTTTTTGCTGTTAGTAGGAAAACTGAGCAGAGCTTCCAGTTCCTCAAGCCTTCCCTCTAAAGTTAGCACATGATGTATTTAGGTAAAGCCAACAAAGACACTGAAAACGGCTAAAACCATTCCCTCTTTTCCCTGTAATCACTAGCAAATATATACATACCCTTTACTTCAGATGAATAAACTTCAGTGCTTGACACTGCACTTACACACTATTCATGACACATCACAATCTAATCTATGGTGATTGGTTCCTCTGGCCAAATACATCACCTGCCTATAGCAAGGCACTAGATTGCATGGAAGAATGAAATCATGGTTGCAAGTGGTGAGGAATTACACAAATTCTCTTTTCCTTCATTCTTGTGCAACTTCCACATTTTTTCCTTTTTGCTATTGATGGGAGGAGAGATGAGGGTGAATGAGAAGAGAATGGAAAGGGAAAACAAACCAACCAACCAACCTCCTTCCCCCCACCCCGCAAAAAAAAGAAACCAACCCCAAAAAAACCAAACCACCAAACAACCCTCCCACCCCAAAAAAAAAAAAACCAAGAACCCAAACCCCCAAATTTAAGAGTGGCTTTCTGCAATGAATTAGAAGGAAAATAAAAATGGAAGGGGAAATCCTGCACCCATGGTCCATATAAATTTGGAGCCTAAGGAACATTTCTTCCCCCGGAAAACTGATTTTAAAAGCTTAAGCACCTGTCTTGTAATCATGCAGGAACACTCAGATAAGTGGTCTCATCCAAACAGAGTAAAATCGAGTAAGCTCATCAGACATGGTACAATGACAAAATGCATCTGAGCTACTTGTTCTGGTCCTGAACCAGAGCCTACACATATATCTCTGCTGCACAACTGGCAGAAAACATTACTTACTGTCCTTTAAGTTTTCTACTGAGAAAGTATAACAAATCATAATTGAACTCTGAATACTTCTATTATCCCTCCTGCAGGCATGACCTGAAAAAGCCACATAAGGTATGTTATGAGGCTAGTTACACAGCTAATATTGGGCCAGTATGTTCTTAAGAGAAGAAACACCATCTCTGTTGTAAAACTATGAATGTGCAAACACTGGACTCTATCCTGCCATGGTTCAAATTGACAAAGGCAGCATTAATCATTAGGCTTCAGCACACAGGAACAGTCACATGAAAATCAATCCCTATTCATAAATCTTCACTGTAAGAATGCTTGATAGACTCTCAGATATATTTTTTTTTCCATGCATAAATCTAACATGCTTAATTTTTGTATGTGATAAATGTGGCACAGAGATCCATGAAGCTTCTTACACTGTGATCTCTAACCATGCTGTGATACCCCTTATGGAGGCTGTTGGTATTGACAAAGAACACTTCTACACCTTTTTAAGGTGGAACAATGCAGAACAATGTAAGGGTGTTTCTAAGTTTGCACACAGAGTCTGAATGCTGACATCAAGCCATTTATAATTATGTGAAATATTAGACATTTGCATTAAAATTTGGATCATCAGTTTTTATTGCTCTGTAACTAAAAGTTCATTTGATTTCTTTTTATTCCTCTGTAAAGAATTATCTGTGGCTTGAAGAGAAAAATGTTTTTTTTTTTTAGGCCAGGAAAAGTTCTATTACTGCAAGCATTCTGGCATGGATTTTAGGAGACTTCAGTGTCCAAATGTTGATCAAGATTGGTAACATCTCATTAGTGATTACTGCTACAAAATAATTGTAAAGAGTCTTTTGAATATAATAAATATTCACGTCACTATCACTGCCCAACTAAAATGAAAAGAAAAAAGAGAAAAGCAAAACAAACCCAGGATGAACCCAAAACCACCCCCAAGCCTCCCAAAATTCCAAGAAATGCTGTGAATTTGACATGCAATCAGAGAGCACCTGGTGCTCTACTCCAGGCAGGAGATATTTCCACCACAGAACTGAAACACAAGAACTACCTAGTTCTGTTGGTTGCACCTTGTTTTTTTTCCGCAATGGACCTTAAACCTCTACAGACCATGCCTTCCTGTTAGGCTGTGGTCTTTTACCTTTGTGATGTCTATCTGCATTTTTGTAAAAAGCCATATTCCCTGCGATGACCAAATGTGTAGAGCTCCCCAGACCTGTAACTCACCATGTCCATGCTTTTTTACCGATAAGTGCTCATGAAGCAGTGAGAAAAAAATGTGAATTGATGGTGCTTTCCAACACTTCCAGTAGTACAGAGAACATGAATGTGGCCTTGGACACAAGTCCCCAGCTAAAATGTATTTCTTACACTTACTACTGGCTTTGGCAGTCCCAAAATGAGGGTAAAGAAAAACAGGAAGGAAAAGGACTTTTATCTGTATTCCTACTGTTGCATTTTACACATGGATTCAAGCTTGCAACTGTTCTGTATTCATTATCTTACACTAAGAGTATCATATCTACACTTCCCTGTACCAGCCTTTCAGCTGTGTGTACATTCTAGGGAAAAAAAAAAAAAAATCAGCTTGTATCTAAGAAATACCTGTAACTTTAGCACTGCTTCTATTATACAACTCTTGCACTCTGCCTGAGCACTTTGAAACATCCTGCTATAGTAAATGGTACTTTGCTGCTAACACTAAAATCCATGTTTTACTTCAAAGATGATGTCAGTTTATAGTATGTCGAGCCTTGTTTTTCAGTGATCAACCTTCAAAGTTCTTCCAGAACATATGCAGATTTCTCCCTTGGCTCCCTGTAGCCACAAAAAACTTGTGCAAGGGGCATGGTTTCAACAGCCAGATCTTACAGAATAACGCTTACAAACTTCTTCCAGTAGTAGAGGTTTTCCCATAAGGTGTTAATATTCACCATTATTACACTGAAGAAGGATGAACTAGAAACAGTAGTGGTTTCTAAATACCTTTTATGCACAAGCATCTTTACCCACAAAACAGATAAAAGAACATTAAAATTCTAAACAAAACAAGATTCCCTTGTTTTATTTCCCATGATCCCTGAAAGAACATGGAAACACATTATGTTTCCCAAACACATCCTCAGCCTAAACTGTTGCTAGCTACTTCTTATGCTTCAAACTTTCTATCTCACCCCTACAGATCACAGGCTAAATATAGATTTCACTCCTTTGCTCACAGAAATCCAAACTTCTTTACTTTACAAGCCATGTAATGGAATATTTTTGAAGCAAAGCATGTGATATGATCATTTGCTTTGGATATTTCCAAATTTCCAAACATCCAAAGAGAGAGGGAACCAGGAGTAGATGACAGCAAACAGCTCCCCATGCCACCAGCTTTGTTGTAGGACCTGCTCGGGTGGATATGTCTGGCCTGCAGAGACCGGTGTTGATTGCTTCTGCTGCTTTACTTGGGTTATGATGTGGATTGCACCCCTCTGTAACATGTTCTTGTGACGCAATATCTCAGGTCCTGCATGAAAGCTACACGCTTCACCCACTGGTGAACCTTGTGACAGCTAAACACAGGTCATTATTAGAGCTGAACACACCAGAACAGACTGGTAAGAGCAGCTCTAGAAAAAAGCCCCTGAACTCCCTTTGGACTATGGTCTATGTTGCTTCACAATATTATGGACTCAACTGTCATAGCCACACTCCAAAAAATTAAAGCCATTCTTCCTCTACTCAGCAGTCCTACAAAAGGAGAATAGCCCATGCAAATGAAGTTATTTTCTTGCTCCAACAATCGATGAGAATCTCATTGACAATACAGACACTTCCTCTTGGAAAAATACATTATTTCTAAACCAAAAACATCAGTTTACTCAAAGCTATGAAAATTACGACATGAAAGGAATACAATACCTGTTTGCTGTTTTCATTGGTGCAATGCAGCCTTTTGAGGGACACAAAGTGTCTTATTTTCCTAGCAACAGAAATAACCACTCATTACCATATCAAATGGTAAAGAGAGAAGTGAAGCGATATACTGCTGTTTTCTTAAGAAGAGGTCTCCAAACCCTCATGAAACAAGGTACCAAATCCAACACCAAACAGACAACTGGGTGGCAAGCACTTCTTCAGTGTCACAGCTATGTTTTTGCACCTGATCCTTCTGCTCCTGCAGGCATTCACCTGCACATCTGGGAGCAGAACCTGGCAATGTGCCCATACCACATGGCAAAGGTGTGAGCACATCCAAACACGCACATAGATATTACCCAGCTGCTGATCCATTCTGTAGAGTAACTGCATAAAGAAATGCCTGATAACATGAACATAAATGTCAACTTGCAGGTATCTATAGCAGTAACACTACTAATTGTTATGACTTTGCAGTCCTTTTAGTCAGCAAATGATGATACTAAAATGGACATGACCTTCTCAACTTTGCTTATTCTTTCCAGACTACTTGAAGTCAGCAGTTACATCATCATCCTGCTACTAAATACATGGAGGTTAATGTTAAACTTACAGGTGGGGAAAGCAGAGAGAAGGCCCTAAAAAGCAGAAAGCAATTATGTTCTGGACAAGTAAGTTACCCTCCTTGACCAATCACAGGTGTTATCTTCACATGCTGTTGGATATTGTCTCCTGTTTTGCTTCTTGCATAGTAAACTCCTTGCCATTCCTAAGCAAACACACACAACAGAGACATCATCTAAGAATACACAGCTGGCAGTCAAATGTTCATTTATTATTACATAATCCTTACATAGTAAATAATAATGTATTATTTCTGGTTGTATTTTTTAAAAAGTGTAAAATTTATTAATACAGAGTAGCACCTTTCATAGGCATTTCCTAACATACAGACAATGGAAGTATGTTTCTCTTGTGAGAGAATATACAATTTTTACAAAGAACTTTAGCAATCATCTGTTTTGAAGGTTACAAACAATGCCGGCTGCAACACATCCAGAGGATATCTCCCCTGGAAGCAGATGAACCAAACTCTGCATTGAATACCATTCAGCTTCGAAGTTGCCAATCATCAAGCAATATATATGCAAAATCACAGAAACCCTTGACCTAAGGATGTCCTTCAACTAATCTCAGGTAACCAACAGCCTATTCTCACTCCATGACTCATTTCCCATGACCATGAATATCTGAAGCGCTCTAGATCAGCAAAAGGAATAAACAGTTTCTTCATGGCATCTTTTATCCTGGTCTCTCATGCAAACGCCTGTTTCTCTGACTGGCCACTCATTTTCCCTCCATTCCCACTGCTACAGGAGAGCATCAGTAGGACTGCAGGCTAAACAAGAACCATATATGCCCCATCCTCAAACACTCTGCTGATGCAGAGATAAAAGATATCCTCTAGTATGGATTGAAAAAGAAAGGAAGATAAAGCAGAGGGTATTGTTCTCCTTAACAACTCAAAGAAAAAAGATTTTAAGGAAGGAACTATTTAGCCATAGAGTAGAATGAAGCTGGAAAATGGGTCGCAGATACCTTCTCCATCACAAAGACGGATGGATGCAGAAGACACAGGGTGCCTCTGAGTAGGCAGGGCTGGCATCTGGGCAGCCTATGTAAATGAGTAAGAGCAAAGCAAGAGTGGCCTGTAGGTGCTGCTAATGAACCAAAGCAAACCTGCAAACAGCTCCAGCAGTGACCCCCAAAAGTTCTGATTATTGCTGTAAGTGACTCAGAGGTTCAAGAGCTCCCCAAAGTTCACGAAGCAAAGAGTGAGACAAGGAAGGGTGAGATGTACTTCTGCAACCTCTGGGAGATGGGATAAGAGACTGTTGCATGTGCTGCATATGTCAGGAGAGCATATCCCCAGGAACAATGTAGTGCTTCTGTGGCCCATCACCATCGTGACAGGAGTTCATAGTGCACTGCAGATACTTTGACTACAGTTAGAAAACGAAACCCCACTGGGTACTAATATGTTGTGGTGCTTACAGCATGCAGGTGGTGAAGGCTCTGCAGTGTGACAGAACAGTTAAACCTTTTGGCTGGATGATGCAACCACCTGAGAGACTGACTGAAGGACAAATTACTACATTCCAACTAACAAAACCTCCATGGGCTCTAGGCAAAACAGAAACACAGAAAATGTTCTTACACTGCTCTTAAGCAAACAGATCAGTAAAGGATTTCAATCAGATCCTAAAAACAAAGCTAAAGAAATCTAGTAGTCACTTGTCTGAGGTGTGGGCTGTTGTGCTTCTAAGACATCTGAGAAGCAGAATTCTGGTCTTACATGTACACCCATGAAAACCACATCTTGTGTTCTTAAACCTATACTACTAAAAATGAAGCAGAGTAGAAATTTAAAGCAATTTTGCATGGGTTTATTTTATTTGCTTACCTTTCCTTTTTTAATAAATGTGTTGATATTGTCTAAGAGATCTGCACAGTTTTTATCACTTTTTGGTAGCTCAGTAAGTTCCTTGCCAATAAGCTCTCCCTTGGGATACCCCATCATCCGTTCAAAAGCTGGATTAACATACTGCCGAAACAAAAGTACTTTAAGATAATATGAAAAAGAACATATTTAAAGGTTAATTACTCACCTATAGCTACTAAATTGTTACAAGTTATGCATCTAGAGCCATTTCATATAAATCATAATTTCATATAAAAATACTATGTAATGGTGAAACATTTTATTCATGCAATGAGCTGAACACAGAAGACAATACGTAAACTGTTACCAGAAGGCACAGAAAGAGAACAAAACTCTACTGTACAGGTTACCTAGTTCTGCTGCACATTTCATGCTGTTTTTACTACATGTAACATTACTGAAAATTAGAATCTAAGTAAAGTTACTGAAGAAGAAGGTCTTAAAATTTCAGCAGGCACCAATGTGCAGCATGCAGAAATAAGACAGTTCATTGTACATGGCCTTCTAATGGGCAGCAAAACTAAAATACTACAAAATAGCTAACGTTTCCCCCCTACCTGAATGACATGATCTTCACTGGTTATTTCAATGGCTTCCTGACAGTGGTCTAATGCCGTAAACGCTGCATTACAAGCCCTGAAATTAGCAAATGATTCATGTTAGTTTTATTGTTAGAACATTTTGCTTAAAATAAATACATTATTATATTGTACTTATCAGCAGATGGATCACAAAGTAGCATGTTGGTTTGGCTAAACCGTATCACTATCTTATCAGCAGATGGACCACAAAGTAGCATGTTGGTTTGACTAAACCATATCACTATCTCCATTATGGTTTTTTTCAGGAAATTCAGCTTCAGACATCCATGTTGTTAACGTGTTTTTCCTGCAGATTACACTGTAAAATTATTCATGGGTCTTAACATGTTAATAGTATGCTTTTTTCTCCAAACATGCTCTAGACTGCAGGAGCTAACAATCAGCAGCAAAAATAAATGGCTGTTACAGCAGAATAGAAATTTGTGATCGTTAAAGACAGGGAAAACAAAAATCACCACAATAGATATATACAAAGGTTTCAATACAGCAAATAGTTTGGTGCTATCAAAGATGTCATGATACAACATCATTAAAGAAAACAGTATAAACCATCTCAAAGTCCTAGTCAGAAAAATACCAATTTTCCTGCTTCCAAGTAATAATTCAGTGACCTGTTTTCCATAGATCCTGATTTTTATGAAGGGCCAAAATGATCTTTGTTTTCCTTTATTTTCAGGGCTATCTTTAAACTAATGCAGGAAAACAAAAGCCTTACCTTCTTGCTACACAACATAAATTGATTACATGATTATTTACACAGAATGGGATTAGCATTAATGTAGGCTCCTAATACTATGGTGGGCGGGAGCAGAGAGAAAGTAGAAAGGGAGAGAGCAAGAGAGAGCGCATACTAAAAGAAACAACCTAGGCATACTTGCTTTGATAGATATCAGTACTCCACCTTTGATTTGGACTAAACACAAACTAATTATCTACTGTGTACCTCTCATAGCAGGGAGTTTAAATGCACCACACATAAACATTCTTGTATAGTTATTACCTAAAAGGAACACCTTGCTCCCAGACTTCATAGCAGGGCTTGAATTAATACCGATGACTAGAGAATTAAGAAATACAGGACATTGCTAGGCCTGCTCATCATGGAAGTAACTCAAAATCAAATCAGATACACCAAGAGATAATACACACAGAGACACAGACATGCAGCCACGCAGATGAAGATTTGTAGGAAAAAGTGTTGCATTCAGAAGACAGCAGTATTTCAGCTCATACAACAAATGGAACTCCCAGTGTTAATTTACAAGTGATTTTCTAGCAGCCCAAACTGGCTCTAATGCGTGATTTTGTGCTGTGTGAAATAACTAATTCATCTCAGCAATAGGTGCATGCCTGGTACACCAGCTGCTAACAAATATCATTACATGAACTTTCTGCAAGAAAACACACATCTATATTTGCAGTATTAAAACCTCAGTATTTTCATTTGATGTGGCAACCAAGCCAGTCAAATTACAGGTTTAAATGTCCCATATCCTCTGATTAATACACACCTCCCACAGATGTCCAATCAAGCTTCAAACCAGGAACAGCTCTCTGGAGAAGCGGAGCACCCGCTTGGAATGGAAGACACTTCTGACCACTGACATGACCTTACACACTGCTTTGTTGGGCTGATCCAGCTTTCTCACCACATTTTTCTTGTATCCAAACACCTGAAATATCCTGGTTTTAATTCCATTGACTAACTTTCTGAAAATACTCTCTCCCCTTTCACTTTCACAAATCTGCATAAAAGACCTACTGAAACAGCAAATAGATCATGGGCCCGGTGGAATAGACACACAGTGCAACACTTTTTCCCCCACTTAAATAAAACACACAGATGAAAGCAAATTATAGCTACACAGCAATACCAAACGCTAGTTCTGCTTTGTTTTCAGTGGCAAATTCATTTAGAGCACTTACCTAACCAGGCAGAAGTAGGGGGAGGTCCTCTGTTGCAAGACATTGACTTCTCTAAGTTATATATATGCCTTTTCAAAAAGAGTAATCTTCTAAAAGTCTACTTCATACCCGCAGATATTACAACAAATGTTGCTTATAAGCATTACTTGTGCTTGTTACATGATGAGGAGTATTTAACTATTTAACTATCCTGGGCCTGAATCTATTAAACTCTTTAAATTACTTGACTGGTCTGGGTCTGCATCTGGCAGCAGCAGTAGCAAACCCCAAAATACCACTGGTTGGGGTTTTTTTTCATAGTATTTTGCAGTGCTGCCAAGGTTTCCAAAACAGTCATGTTCAGAGGTGATGTGAATGTATATACACACATAAGTATATAGAATGTGTGTTCTCAATATACAAAAGATACTATAACACTGAATACATTTTCTATAATGTTATTATTTACATAATCAAAAAGAAGTAGGCTCACAGTTTATGTAACTACATTCAAGAGACCAAAAGCAAGCAGAATTATGAGTTGTCTAATGTTGTTTCCATAAACAATATGGATGAAAAAACTGTCAGTAGATGAAACATCACTGGAGACTGACTTTGTTTCCTTCCAGTTTTAATGAACTTTGAGATGTTTTTGGTGATGACTATACACAAACTTGCAGCAAAATGTGGTAGACAATATGAATCATGCTCCCTGTATTGGAGGTTTAATTATCTGCATTCATAATTGATACTTGCATGCATAGATGATGCTCAAACTGTATTTGCATCTTGTTTTTGAAACGAAACAAACTACAAGCATTGTGTTTATGAATGACAGCTTAATCTTTCTATATAAAACTAGTGTTTCTGATCTATGCTGGTTTAATTCAGAAGTCACTCATTTCATATTGCATTTACAACTGAACAACAAACCAAGTCAGGACCACCATAACATCTAATTAACTTCTAAAATTTCACAGGTGCTTTATTTTCCTGTTGAGTTTTGGAAAGCACCTATTAAAAATCATGGAAGCCCAAATTCTATTTTTTTTCCCCTGAAGATTGCCCTGTAATTGCACTTTGCATGTACAAATACGTAGCCACTTGAACATGAAGTCTCTTTGGGATCAGTTTGCAAATAAAACCTCACAAAAATCTATTTCTTAAACAGAAACACTGAAACCTTTAGAGAAGTGATATTATTTTCTGTGGATAGAAATGGAATTAAGTTATGCCACCGAGGTAACTACACCTCTGCGTTATGCAGCTCAGCTTCAAGGTTGGTTTTTTTTTCCATATAGTTGTATTGCAAACATATCTATGTGCATGTATACGCACCCGTATTAAACATAAAATTAGAATCTTCATATTAAAGAAAAAGTGATGATAAGAAAATTAATTTCTCACTAAGATACAAAAACTGTGTTGCTGCTTTTCCAAGTCTTGCCCAAGCAAGAAAAAGCTCAAGGTATGAAGAGCTGGATTAAGATTGCATTTAGCTGAAGCCATCATATATGAAATCTCACACACGTAAGATCAAGAATGACTTTTTGAAATTTTACTGTCATGTAAGTTTGCAGCCCATAAACCTTACCTGAGATAGCATTTTCAAAATGTTATCCTTGCAATTAAACAGGCTGAAGTTATTGTTCTGCAATATTTCTGCTAAAGGATCTTTCCCTGAATCTCATGTTGGTAAGAATGGTTGCTGAACATTGCCAAATTCCATATGGGCACCTCAAGATATATAGAATCATAGAATTGTTAGGGTTGGAAAGGGCCTTAAGATCATCCAGTTGCAACCCCCCTGCTATGGGCAGGGTCACCTCCCACTAAACCATGCCACCCAAGGCTCTGTCCAACCTGGCCTTGAACACTGCCAGGGATGGAGCATCACAAGGAAGCATCAGAAGACATATACTGCATTTTGCATTAAGAAAGGCTGTCATTTACACCACCAGTGAATGAAACATACACAGACTAAGGTTTCTCAGGGTACCAGTTACTAAGACACTTACATTGGTCCTTTACAAAATAACAGAATAAGGAAATAAGGGCATGGTATAGTATATTAGTTAAGATACAGATGAAAAACACATATATGGGCAGCTGGGAAGAAGCAGAAAATAACCTAATAAAATATGTAGACCAAGAAGTTGATGTTTGCAGTTTCTTACACTTCTACATACCGTAATTTGAACTGAGATCGCACTTCCCCATGCTCTATTTGAACCAGTTCATTGTAACAAGCAGTTATGCTGCTATTCTCCTTGAATTGCTGGAAGACAAATCAAGAGTGCATGAAATAGACTGGAATGGTTTAAAACTGTTATTTCTGTTCCTGAATCTAAAACTCTAACCTTCTAAAGAGAGCTGGCACAAGTCCAGCAAAAGGCTATGATGGTGGCTAGGCATCTCTCCTGTGAGGAAAGGCTGGAAAAGCCAGGACTGCTCTGCCAGAGAAGAGAAGGCTCAAGGCATTAAAATATCTGAAGAGACTGCGAGTGCCCACTAACAGAACCAGAAGGTAACGGGCACAAACAGAAACACAGGAGGTTCCCTCTGAACATCAGGAAGTAGTTTTTTTGACTGTGAGGGCTGCTAAGAACTGGCACAGGTTGCTCAGTCTCCATTCTTGGAGATCTTCAAAAGCTGTGCGAACATGGTCCTGGGCAACCTGCTTTAGCAGAGAGGCAGGGCAAGATGACATCAAGAGGTCCCTTCCAACCTCAACCATCCTGTGATTCTGTAGAAATAAAAAGCTTTAGTTGCACCTTTTGCATTCTTTTATCATCTTTTTCTCAAGAATGATTTTATAGTTCTTATGACAACATGGCTATCTAAATACAAAGCAGGTACAAAAATATGCTAAAACCTCAACTGTGAGTTTTCTTGTTTGGTTTTAGCAACCCAGTTAGAAACAGATAGTCTAAAAAAAAACAAAAAAAACAAACCCAGACACAGTCTCACACAAACTGGTATTGCCTTGATGTTTCATTTTCAACATATATCCTTAGTTCAGGATGGAAATGGAATAGAGACATAAAACATTTTAAAAATGTTAAAAAAAAGAAAATAAAAAAAAAAGGATATTTGATTTTTCAAGGAAATACTGCAGCTGAAGCTCAGAAGGTCAAAGTAACTTTGCTCCACAAGTAATCTCACTGAGCTGTCACTGAATTCAGAAGTGCAGAAAAGTACATAAAGTAAGAAGCAGGATGACAACAGTTAACAGACTTTTATATACTCCAGACCAGAGTGAACAGCCTCTCTTTGTAGTAAGCTGGAAGGTCTTGTGTTTGGTCCTGCTGAAATCAGAAACTTACGTTGATACAAAAGAAGTAGATTTTCTGACTTCAGTTAAAGTTTACTGCTCATTAGTAAGCTTCTGCTATGAAAAGCTAAATCACTCCTTCAGAAATACATGCACCAAGTCTACCTTTCACAGGAAATACCCCGTGTTGTCACTAGTTCTCACAGCACAGCTGCATGCAGAGTCTAGAGGCAGCACGCTAAACCTCCAAGGAACAAACAACAGCTTTAAACAAATCTATGCTTCTCTCCTGTATGAAAAATTGTTTTGGGAACCAATGGTTTAATCCCAAATTGTCAGCAAAATGTAAAAAAGTAAAATTAAAAATATCTCTTGACATGGGTCTGCTTCTCTCCTTTATGTTAAGATCTCAAAATACATCTGTAACTCTCACTTGACACACTAAGTGAATGCACGGGAAACCAAAAGGCACAATACGAAACTGACAGAAGCAAAGGTCTAGGGATGTTGTGTTTTTGCATAACAAACTGCCTGCAAACAAATGCGTCTTCTACAGCATGGCAGATTTAGATTTTCAGTTTTAGACTGCTCTTTTAAATATTCAAATATGCTTATGCTAAATTAAAACCAATATAACTCCAAATATAGCAATAATATACAAGTTAACAATGATGGCAACCTATTTCACAAACTAAACTCACTAGAACATACTAAAGCTCTTTATAAACTGAATTTTAAAGTACTGCTGTTTATTGAGAAAAATCAACCACTATCTTGGCACAAATTATTGGCTAAGAGCCAGGAACTGCAACTTGCTGAAGTGCTAAGCTGCTCTTAACTGTTGCATAGTCTTCTTCAGATATGCAGAATCTCTTTATTTAAGTTTATAGCCCTAATACCACTCGTTCACTGGTTCACTTAAATCTGAGAAATCAATTGGGACCTGAAAAAAGTACAAAGCATTTCCTTTCCTTCCCTAATCTGTGCATCTAAATGAGGCACAGGGAGATGAAAATCTATTAGCTCTCAAATATTAGAAGGCAGACAACAATACCTTCTTTTAAAAAGTTTAGTATTTATACATTACATTTTGATTTAACTAATATATACAGAAGGTGACACAAGCCTCAAGAGCCATCAGGTAGTAGGAATACGTTATTCTTTATGCTTAGCAATAAGTACTGAGTTTAATATTAAAGATTTATTTTGTTGCAAACCAGAAAGTTTTGATAGTAACTGGTCAATGAGAACCAACATGTCTTTAGGGAAAGAAGTAAAGTTCAAAACACAAGACAAGATTGTAATTGAGTAACTGCAATCATTAAGGTCCTCTGTTTGCTAATTTAAATCACAGTTAAAAATAATTCAGGATGCCAAATCACTTTACCAAATCACTGAACCAAATTAGTTCATCTTAGGTAGGTCATTACTGTAAGATTTATGAGGTTGAGAGGGAAAAAAAAAAATCAGTGTAATAAATGTGCTGCATTAACAACACCATTAAGACAAACACAGAAGGTGCTGATGATATAGGGAAAAAAATCAGAAGGTGTAATATAATGCACTTCCTTGAGAATGAGATGGAAAAAAACAGAAATGATTCAGCATAAAGAAAAATGCCAAAGGAATGTGTAAAGCTAACAGAAAAGACTCCTGAAATCTCTTTCTGTTATAAGATTTTTAGTGATTGTAGTGATCCAGGTTTGGATAGCAATCAATCATCACTGATTTCATTAGAAGAAATTAAAAATTATTTATTTAAGATTACTTAAAATATACGTAACATCTTAGCATAAACATAGAAAGATAATACTCTAAGTACACATGAAGGTAACAGAACATTTTAAAGCAGATTCAAATAAAATATTCACTGCATGAAAAACATTCATGGTTATTTACAAGAATATCTCCAAAGAAAGATTAAAGGAGTTCTTTGGAAAGAAAACCTGATGCAAAAAGTTTGGTTTTGTCTACAAAACTCTACAAAAAGGTGTCAGATTAATTGACTAGATGCACAGACTCTTTCCTAATAAGGTTGGAGATGCATTTGAAGAAGCCACCACCACAGCAATTGCATTCAGTGTTTTTTCAAGGGATGAGAATCAAGATGATGAGCAAAACCAGGAAAAATGCCAACACAAGGAATCGTGATGATGCAAAAATTAAGCTACCAGAAAGTTTGGACTCTAAAAATAAAAATAGTGAAGAGAAACTTCTAATTTGAACAGATAGGATATTCCAAAAATAAATTTCATATTATTGCTGATGAAGAGATTGTCTGAAAATATTGTCTATTTGAAGAAGGGCATTTTAAAATCTTTGTGTGCAGGGTGTGTGTGTGGGTGTGTTAATGGTTTTAGTCCCTACTGATCCCCATCCAAGTAGAAGTAATTCCTATGTCCACCCCAATGTGAAAATAGGATATTTGACATCACATGTGTTTTAAAGGATTAAAAATAATTCCATTAGGGAAATACTACATTATGCAAGCTCCCTGATAAATTTGGGACAGCTAGAAGGAATAGTCAGAGCAGCTGCTACGTGCAAAAAGATTTTACTTTCCTAGGCAGACATTGTGCCGCTGACATGTGTCGCAGAGCCTCACAGTGTCTCCTCTGGTTCTATTCAGTACTACACCTACAGTTACAATCTAGTCCACAAAACTCATTGTCCTGCACTGCTTTTGAATAAAATGCCAGACTTGAGAAGAAATAAAGATTTCTTCGAAAAGTTTTAAACCCTTTTGGTTTTTGTTTGGTTGTTTTGTTGTGGTGGCTTTTTGGGTGGGTTTTTTTGGTTTTTTTTTTTGAGAGAGGGAGAAGACTACACTAAGGAAGCACTGGCATTCTGGGGCTGACCTTTTAGCCTCAACTTTTCAAATTTTCAGGGCATCGAAGCATTTCAGAAATGCTTTTGCTTTTAATGCTTTTGCACCCACAGTACCCTTACAGGCAAGGCAAGATTTACTACCTCGTGTTGGAGATGATCTGCAAATGGTGACTCCAGTGCATGCTCTTTCTTTGTAAAGAAACTCAAGCTAAATATGAGTTAGCACAGACGCTGGACTCAATATGAGCATATTAGCCATGCATACCAACATTGGGAAAGGGTAAGAAATTGAACACAGATTTTCAGAGCTGAGAACTGCTGCCTTTCGCACTTCTTCTCCAAATCTGTTTGGGAAACAGTATGAACAGTATGTTCCCCTGAGCTGCCTGTATAGGACAGCTTCTAACACTGTCCTGAGAAGAATGGGTGCAAGTCAGCACAACAGACCTCATGACAAGAAAAGAAAATGTCTTCTTCACATCAGACGGAGCTGGAATGGGTTTGTAGTCTCTTTAGAAGAGAAATCCCAGCAATCCGAAGTGCACAGAAGTGTCTGGGTGACTAGTTAACATGCTGCGATATGCAGCACACAGTGATCAAGGTCACCCATCATCTTTTTAATGCAGTCATAAACAAAAGCCACCCACACAGACCACAAGAAGTTAACCTCAGTATTCCTGCTTATTCTGGAAGGATTAGCTAGATCACAGATTCTTCTATTTCATATGCTTCTTGGATACACTGTTGAAAAGAAAAGAATACCCAATCAATTGCCACTGGTTTCTCATAACTAAGTTTTTGACAGAAGCAAATGTATAGTTTTCAATTTGAGGAATTAGAAGTGTCTGTAACTTATGAAGCAATCATGATTACGATATTAAATATGTAATTTATACGTACCCTATCAAAGCCTGCATTAAGAAGTGGAAGAACAGAAGTTTCTTCTTCGTCAGCAGATCTACAAAACAAAAATAGACTCATAGGATCATTTTGGTTGGGAAAGGTCCTTAAGATCATTGAGTCTAACTGTTAACCTAGCACTGCCAATTCCACCACTAAACCATGTCCCTAAGCACCACATCTACATGTCTTTTAAATACCTGCAGGGAAGGTGACTCCACCACTTCCCTGGGCAGCCTGTTCCAATGCTGGATAACTCTCTCAGTGAAGAAATTTTACCTAGGATCTAATTTAAACCTCACTTGAGGCCACTTCCTCTTGTCCTGGGGAAAAGAGACCAACATACACTTTGCTACAACTTCCTTTCAGGTAGTTGTAGAGAGTAATTAAGGTCCTCTCAGAGCCTCCTTTTCTCCAGATTAATCCACCCCAGTTCCCTCAGCTGCTCCTCATCACACTTGTGCTCCAGACCCTTCACCAGCTTTGTTTCCCTTCTCTGGCCTGCTCCAGCACCTCAGTGTCTCCCTTGTTGTGAGGGGCCCAGAACTGAACATAGGATTTGAGGCGCAGCCTCACCACTGCCCTGGCCCTGCTGGCCACGCTATTGCTGATACAGGCCAGGATGCTGTTGGCCTCTTGGCTGCCTGGCCACAAGCTGGATCATGTTCAGCTCCTTCAATCAGCACCCCCAGGTCCTTTTCCATGAGCAGCTTTCCAGCCACTCTTCCCCAAGCCTGGGGCATTGCATGGGGTTGTTGTGGCTCAAGTGCAGGACTGGCACTTTGTCTTGTTGAACCTCGTACCACTGACCACAGCCCATCGATGCAGCCTATCCAGAAGGCTCTGCAGAGCCTTCCTATCCTTCAGCTGATCAACACTCCCAGCAAAATTGGTGTAGTCTGCAAATTAGTTAACTATTCTACATAACATTCTTATATTAAAAAAATCTTTTACAGAACAGTAATACTTACATGTGTGGAACCACAGCAAGTATCACAGTATGCTCTGATGGTTTTGTGGCACGAATAGATCTAAAGAAACAAATTTCTCAGTTACCCCACATGCTTTCCCGATGTTACTTTGAATATCTTCACAGAAAATATAAATGAAAACCAGGACTGAAAGACACCATTGAGGCTAGACAACGGGATATCACACTGCCAAAATCTACTTATCCCAACTTAGCCACTTAATTTCCATTTTGCTACCAGATTCCTCAGATTTTCCTCAGTGCAGTGAAGAGGCAAGAGCTCCAAAAACATAGGGCATGAACAGCAGCTCTTCAAATCCACTCTTATAACCTAGCAAAGGGTTGCCCTGTTTACTCAGCTTATTTCGGTCTGAGTGCCTTGAATGCATGGGTTGAGAAAGCTCAGTCTAAACAATGCCTTTTCAATACGTATTAGCTCATTTAAATATCTCCACCACTTTCTTCCATATTTACCAGTCCTCCTAGATACTGTAAAATTTTCTTTAAAGGGTGGAAAGTGCTTTTGGGGCATGCAAGTAAGGAAAGAGGATATAGCAGATATAGATGATAAGCTGTCATTTATGAAATGCCAAATAAAATTTTACCACTTTACTTATTACTGAGAAACTGAAAAAAATATGACCAACTATCAGAAGAACACCCCACTCACCTTTCACTGGCTAAAGATAACCTTTTTCAATCATGTCACACTGTCCTGAATAAACAGTCTTGTTCTTTTAGAAGAACTTCCATCAGCACAAGTATTTGAGCTTTAAAAAGCTCCCTGTCATACACATGGGACATTTCAGCTCAGGGTGGACTGAGTAGCACAGAATCGTGTATGGTACAAACATGCTTCAGCTGACACAGTGTATTTTAGCAAAGAATCACTTAGAGTTCTAAGTGCTTGCAACCTTAGAGCTACTAACACAGTCATGTGAACCAGAAGAGTGATGGGAACTTTTGTGAAGAGCTGGCAGTGCCTGACACAGTGAACAAACATGCACATTCCTTTGAAGCCCTACAGCTTCAGACTTTGCGGCAGCAGTAACCCAAGAAAGAAGCAGGCACAGACAGGAGGGAATAATTTCACAACAGCTCTCACTTATGCTCTGATAGAAGTCCATGATCTACAGAGACAGTTCTACAATTCAGCTTTGACAAAGTGTATTTTTTTGTATTGTTCTGCTCTTACAAATGCATGCAAACGTCCTGGCCTCAATCCCCAAACTTTCTTTTTACTGTAGGTTTTGGGCTTCTTATTTATTTATTTATTTTTAAATGTTCAGCATGTTCTGAAATTCAAGAGAAGCAAAAGAGCGTAAGATCCTTTAGGTTACCTGCAGATATCTTCTGCATCAAAACATCTGGAGTTCCTGTGATCTATAACAATTATTTCCTGGTGCTTATCAAGAAAACATTCAAGTGCTGACTCTGGAGTACGTGCAATATTGCACCTGTATCCAGCTCTGTCACAAGCCCACCAGAAACCATCACTCTGGCTGTCTTCTTTTGCAAAGATCAGCAAAACCTGCAGAGCATGCAAAACAACAGCATCACATTATGCATACAAAATAGTTTTCTGCTTGGTGCAAATCTTAACAAACTTCTGCTACACGAAAGACTGAGTCTACTTTGAAAGTGGAAAGCCTGATCTACAGACTGTAAAACAGCTGATGCAGTAACACAACTTTCTTAATAGATTATCAATAGATAATCAATAGTTAATTGCATAGGACAGATATTTAGAACAAAACTGGCTGCCAGATTATGAGTCTCTTCTATCTGACATTCAAAGTCAATCAGCAGCCACCCAGAGTAGGTAGGTACGTGTTCCAACATCACTGCCACTCTCATCAGGCCATCCCAGCTACACACACCTTTAACTGTAATGACATGTCTGAAATGTAACTGCCTTAATTATCACTCTTCAGGGACAATTAACATAACACAGTTTTATTCATTTTATCTTCTTTGATGTACAACAAAATGGAGTTAACCCATGTTCTTTCAAAACTGAAAAGAAAAACAGACAAGTAGGAATAGACAGGGCAGAGCACGGCAAGAAAACCATTCTTTCAAACATAACAATTTTTACCCAATAAATTATCTCTAATTATGTAAATATATGGGATAGTTTCAACAACCTCAAATGAACACTTAAGGAACTGCTCACACAAGATCAGTTAGGATGTGTGCAAAGGTGTTGTTCAAAAAATCAAATTGATGCTGTAGGAGGTCTGTTTGCTAACTGGCATATAGAGTAACAGAATATAGGTTGAAAACAGCTTTATTTGTGTGCTGCTTGTGTGAAAGAAAGAGCGTTTTTAAGAGGCAATGGATTTTTCATCCTTGCTGTATAATACATGTATTATCAGCATTTGAATTATATAGCTAGGAACACAAGTCACATAGACAACCCCTTCACAATTTGCTTATATTTGCCATAGCAACTGATCACTAAACAGGCCACCCTGTGTGACAGATGAAATAAAAAAGTTAATTTAGTGCAAATATGCTGTGAAAAAGAAGGCCTCAAAACTGCACAGAAAGGCAATGGGCAGAGAATTATGTATGAAACAATATCCTGTTCATTTCGGAAATAAAAGTAATCCCCTGACTTCCCTGAAAAACAAACAACTGTCTGAGCAAAATGTGAGATTTTGCCCCAAATGCCCATAGGAAATGTCAATAACCTTCTATCTGTGCTTCTCTATGAAGCTGTGATGTCACCACATGAAGTTCAACACCATCAGTCTAGAAGCCAGAAAAAGTGGCCACAATTTTTCTTGTTTCTTGAGCTGTCTGGATTGCTAACTTCTAAACAATAAACAAATCAATTAATGTTACTTTGGTGGGATAACCAGTCAAGGTTTCATTGAGCAGGGAAAGAAAATTGTATGCTTGGAATTTCCATAAGTATTAAGAAATAAGAAGTTTCAACTTATTAGAGACAGTATTTTTAATTACAGTTAAAGTAATTTAAAAAAAAAAAAGTAATTAATTACAGTTAAAGTAAGCAGATTTGAGCTACTGATACTCAACATCCAAGGCAACTGCTGTCACACTACCTAATCCCTGTTTTTTTTCCAGCCATCAAAATGCTGGGAAGGAGTGACACAGTTGAGCTGCAGACTTTGCAGATACTCAGGAAAGTCCTTACTTTCTCTTGTTTGGTTACAACTGGTATTAGTTTTATTTTGCTCCTATTTTGATCGGTACAATATGGCTCAGAAAACTGATATTTTTAGGGCACATATTTTGATATCTTCCTTCTCGATTTCCAAACTGGGAATGTTAAAAGGATTGCAAAATGTGATCATTCACCAGCTGTAAAATAATGGAGTTTAATTAAACCACCTAATATTCCACTGGTAGCTAACTATCAGTTTGTGAATCCTTCTGAGAATATTAACTTTTGAAGTTTTTTTTAAGTATTACTACCATGCTTTCTCATTAACATTTGCATGGAGCTTACTATAACCAGAAGTATATTGCAGGATATGTTCTCAAAGTCAAGATAAAAACATAACAATACATATAAACAATACCACAAGGAAAAGCTTAAATTCAATCCGTGTTTCTTGGCAACCCCCCCCATGTAGCCTCTGTCTGTGTGTGTGTGCAATTTGTCAGTAAACTGTAAAACTGTAAAAAGATCATTCTACTCAGTGCTGCCCTTGTTTAGGAGCTCTGCGACCTTCCCCTATGGAGAGCTTTACATTTGTTTGTGATTTACTGGAATTTTCACCATCTTTCTAAGTATTTGCTTTGCCCAAGTATTGCATGTCTTGTTCCCAGTTTATCATACAAACACAGAAAACAGACAGATTTGCTTTAAAGAGTTAAAAATAAAACAAGAGACACCAGCTGAGTACAGCCAGTAGGGTACCACAATAAAACTGAGAAAATTACAAACAGCAACTTAAGAAGTGAAAATAAAGTTACTTAATTATTTTTATGTTATTGTATCTCAGTAAGAGAGTCTTAAGGTGGAAAACACATAGTGGCTTTGCTCTTGTGACATTGAAAATAAGCATGGGGAGACAGTAAAATGCTGTGCATCATTATGCCTCCTTTGCAGCTCAGCAGGGAAGATGACCATCATCAGAACAGAAATGGAGTTTGATGTCAATGCTGTGAAAGAGATGGTGGCGAATGAATGTCCTAAGAAGTGAGAAAATGCAATATTTGAAGGGTGGGAAAGGAAGGAACAAACACATCCAAGCCTTGGTAAATAGTAAGGATAAGACAGGGTTTTTCATGTGCACTAAACTTTTATAAAACCCACCCTTCTCCTGTGTCCGCTGGAGAAGGTGCATTTATATGTACTTTTACCATGATCATTTCTAAGGTCTCAGAACCCAACTTGCCTATTTGCAAGTCTTGGTACAGAATCAGGCTAAACGTGCAAGCAGCATGTGAGGAGGATGTTTGGAGTGTCAGAGCTGGTAGGTTTTCTTTGGAATTTTCTCGTTGCCCCTTAAGGCGAGCAGCACCTGGGTCACAATCTAGTACAAACCAAACCAGATTTGTCCTTCAACACAGATGGATACGAAGTCCAGTGAGGAATCTATTAAAAGGTTTATGGCAGGTCACAGTCACAAGTAAGGTCACCTCTCAAGACAAAAAATACGGGCCATTTTGAGGTTGGCACAGGTGTCCTGTAACAGCATAAAACACCCGCCAGAATAAAAACAGCCGCTAAGAAAAACTCTGGTGGCAATTGTTGTAACAAAATAAATGGACTTATCAGACAATTGTGAACATGATTAAGCACCTGCAAATAGACATTTAAAATATGGTATTCAGTAGCTGTTTGCATTGCATAGAGAAACACGTAATTCCATTGTCTAGATGGAATAAAAGATTAATACACATTTTTCAAAAGCATAGATGTGTGCAATACTTGCCAAATTAGCTGAGATAATGTGGCTTGTTCCACAAAGGAGGTGAATTTACATAAAGTGTTTTCCCTTTACCGTAAATAAGTTAGCATATGGCAATGTCTTTAAGGAAAACACATCAGTTAATAGTTTTACTTCAGGTCTGCTTTCTGCTTTACTTAAGGACTTCTGTGGCAGCACCACAGATTCTCACTTGCGAACCCTAGAGACAAAGTAACATCCACACCTGACACGATACTAAGAAAAATGCCGAACAGTTAGAAAGAATGAAAACCCCATTTTCCTTTCTTATACGGAAAATCTTCCCTTATAACAGCTAAGACTAGTACTGTAATACTTTGGCAAATCGAGTTTCTACAAAGTAAAATCCTGACATAAGCAGTGAGTATATCTGTGTTTGTTAAACATCTGCTTGACATTCTCTCCGAAGATGATCACAGTCTAAAGAACATTTTTCTGTGAAGAGTTCCACACTTTTATGTTGAAATTCCTTGCAAAACCAAAGACTGGCCTACTGCTGAAGCCACTGTTCCACAGTCATCTTATGAAATACAGAGTTTCATCAGATCAAGTCATCATTAAGACTGAATGCTTAATACAGAAATAAAAATGTAAAGCTTTATGATGCATATACACATGATTTATTTTCCTTGGGAACAGCATTTCTTCCACTTGTAGGTTTTTCCTCTCACAGCCAGATACAATGAGAAAGAAGCCAACCCACAAAATGAAAAGGTGACTGGTGACTAAATGTCTCTGTGACCCAAAAAGTTAATTCAAACGAATGCTGTGTCACTACAGCAATGTTAAAGACTAAGATTATTTAATTTCCTGACATCTGAGAGCTCTAATACCCACTATAAGCTAAATTAAAAAGGAAAAAAAACAAACACTTGGCATCTGTTTACTGGCACAGGAACAAAATGTACAGAAGCAAGTGAGGGTGAGAGCTGTGCTCCTTAAGCTGAAGTTCAACCTGTATTGTTGGAGACGGTGAGATTTCTTGGATTGGTGACCTGTAGAAGCAGTTCTCTGTTTTATTGTGCAAAAACCAGCAAAACTCAAAGGGTACTTAAATTTTATAATGGAGCTTTCTCTGCTTTTGTGTATCAGAACAGAACAGATTTTAGATACAGAGAGGCAGCTCTTTCCCCTGCAGATGCACATACACACACACTCCTATTGACAGGACTTATAAAAGGAATGATTTCATGTTAATGGAAATCTAAGCACCTTGTTTACCAAGTTAATTTACTTGTACATCTCTTCTGAAGCAATCAGATATACGAAAACACCGATTACCCCTCTCACAGTCCTTGAACAAGTAAAATGAAAACATTATGCTTAACTACAGGGGTTGAACCTTCATTTCTTCATCCATTAACACTGAATTGATTGTATCAAGAAATGAAAAGAGCATCTCACCTGAACTGGATCTTGTGTCAGTCTCATGGGCCCAATTTGTACTTCTGTCGCTGAACCCTGCTAAAGAAAAGTAATACGGATATTTTTTCCCACTCTGGTTCTTAACAAGATGGCATTTTACATGCAAGAATGAAAGATCAAACAGAACCATGAAAGACTCTCAAAGGCAGGCAGACATATGACTAGCAGCACTAATACAGTTGCTTTGAAGGGTATTGTTCATGAGCATATTTTACCAAACTCCCAATTTTGTTTTATTTAAGTTAAAAATTGTAAGGTTTTAAATGAGGAAACAAGAAACACCACTTCCTTTCCCCTCTTGCCTCAACAGAGTACCTTGGTTACACAGAAGGACTTGTATTTTGCTTAGGACTACAGAAAGCTTTTTTTTTTTTTTTTTCCTGGCCAAAATTTGCTTATTCGTTTGAATGGGATACAGAACTTGTACTAAAGGTCTTGTGACATATATTCAATAATACCTTAATCGATTTGGTTAGGAAAAAAGTTACTTCTTTAGACAAGAGAACTTCTTTGGATTGCAGATTTAAAACTGTTTTTCAGAACCATAGCTTTCATTTTGCAAGAAAAAACCTGCTACCATGTGAACCATGACATTTTCAGAAGATATGAGAGCATATCATAATTTAAAGCAACTGTAAGAGAGCCAGCACATATTGGCTGTGGCTGCTTTGGTTGCCAATATTTCCTAGGAGTTGAATTATGTTAATAATTTTTGTGTCTTGATACATTTCAGTACACTTCTGTACACTACTGATTTGTTTCACTTCAGACCATTAGCCATAGAAGGTTGTTAAGCAACTGAACAATACCTATGTCCACCCACAGATGCATGTACTTAAGGAAAAGAGCCTTTGAAGCCTTAAAATACTGCTCCCCTCTTGTGTATGGAGGATTATTTGCAAGTTCGCGATCTCCAAAAGGGCAGATTCTCTGCGTTTCTGGTACCAGTTACCCCAGGTGTTGGCAAGTTAGAGCAATTGCTCCTCAAGGCAAGTAGTCTGAACGAAGCCCTAATTGTAGGCAGATTCCCAGGCTTGCTCCCTGGCACACAGGAATCCTGGAGCCTAATTTGTGCAGCATTTTTCTCTGCAGTTACTGTTAGTTTGACACTTCTGTCTAGGTGTTACCTTGTTCTTAATTTCAGTATTTTTCAAAGGAATGCATATGAACATTCGAAACGGATGAGGTTACCGGTATTCAGCTTTTTCCCGTAGAGAATACAATACTGTGTTAAGCATTAACAGCCTTGACTGCACATGAGACAGTGGTATTATGTATAGCTACAACTGACACGCTGGACTTTCATGCACCACTGAGCATCCATTCTTCTCAGCCCAACAACGTACGTCAGAAGGTGGTAACTGGCAGGACTCCAAAAGATCAAACCACAAAGCCTGCAACTGTTTTCCAAAGCAAAAACTGCCCCCAATATAAGTGTAGTTAACCTCTCCTTTTCTCATACAATAGCTTAACTTCCCACTTGAGCTCCTGCCATAGCAAAATGTAACTTAATGCCAGAAAGTGCATCAGAATAGAAACGAAAGTTAGCACCCACCACTAACCATGAGTTGTGAGTAAGGTTTGAGAAACAGCTGTCTGAAAGCTCCCGACTGCTCTTCCCACCCACCAAAAAAGAAAAACAGCACATTTACCCTCCAGTGGAGGGTCAGTACCAATGAAAAACCTTCTTTTCTTACAAGCTCTGACTGTCCCAGAATTTACTTATCAAAAGCCGAGCATCCTTCACAAAAGACAGTCGGGACACAGATATTTATATTATTATCCATTTATTAATGGGATACCAACATAGAATCATAAAAGCTTAGAATGGTTTGGGTTGGAAAGGACCTTAAGATCATCTAGTTCCAACCCCCCTGCCATGGGCAGGGGCACCTCACTCTAGACCATGTTGCCTAAGGTCCTGCCCAGCCTGGCCTTGAATGCAGCTGAATAAATGGAAGCGGGGAAGTCTATAAATACTTTTATAGAGATTCCTTTACAGGGTAGCCACTGGTCTTAGCCTGACTGTTTTAAAATAACAACAACAATAAATCCACACCACTGGGACTTGAGGTTTCTCTTCCTACTGCTTCTGTGTCAGTGTCATGAATAGAAAATACCTGAATATAAGAACCTAAAAATCAAGGTTTCTTTCTCTTCCTCCCTCCCAGTTTCCGGGTGTTCCTGCCTTTGCTAAGGGTACGAAAGCTTCATGAGATTAGAAAGCCTGAGAGCTCCAGTGTAGGTGAACTTGTCTCTATCCTGCTCTGCACAAACACAATAGGGCCAGAACCACACGGATGCAGAAAAGGTGCTGCTATACCTGAAAGATTGCCATAACCTTTTAAGTCCCTAACTTGCTCAACTTTGTTGCTTATACAATGCGTGGAAACAAATGGCAATGAACTTCAGCATAGGAAGGATTAATAAACTTCATCAGACACAGCAAAAAAGTATGTTTGAAATCCTCCTACCTGGACTTGGGGTTCTGAGTTTTTACTTTACAAGCTAGATCAAACCCTTGGATTTATATGCCCAAATTGCTCTGGGAACAAGTGACTGTCTCACTTTTCCCTTTCAAAACACAGCAACAGGATGCAGGAAGAATGAGGGCCTGGCCTTCACAAGGTCCTACAGATCTCTCTTTGGCCTGAAGGAATTAATTCCACATCTTTCTACCTCCAGAAGAGTCTGATTGTGTGGACGTTGCATATTAGTGATACCATGACCATACCTCTGTTCATTTCCTGACTTAAGTCAATATCTCATTGCTGATGATTTCCAATTTAAATAAATCTCTCATTGTGTGATTGACTGTCAGGAAGGGCTGATAGTAGATCTGGAACCTAAATCAATTAGAACAGTAGCTCATGACAAACTTTTCTGGTAAAATGGTGGATACAAGCCTGGTTCCAAAGAGGTCAGTGAGAAAACCCCAGATTTCAGTGAGCATGTTTAGAAGCAAAGAAATCATAAATAAACTAACCATGAGCAAACAATAAAAGCTGAAAAACAGTGAAGAAATTTTTATTTTAACATTTTAAACCATATTCTTTCCAATATCATTCTAATCTCCAAGGCAATCTCACTGGGAATCAGCTATTAACCAAGTAGTTAAAGACAAAGTCAATGATACTTTCTTAACCTGCATGTTTTTATGTAAATCAGAGATCGTCAATTTCCTTACTATCACAGCAGTACCATTAAGCAAAACATACTTACCACTTCATTAAAGTTCTGCCCTTTTAAATCACCAACACAAAAATTTTCACCCCCATTATGACTGCAGATTTACAGCCCCTGCAGTTTATGAATCATCAATAGTTAGTAACACAACCACTGTAAAAATAATCACTAATTAGTACAGCAAATCTTCTTGAACGATTCTTGATTGCTCCAGAGCAACAACAGCAACTAAAACAACCAACCAGTGAAGCAAAGGTGCTGGTGAATTTAGCCTCCTGGAAAGGCTTAGGATGGGTGTGCCTATTGAGAAGCACAGATGCCAAGGATCCTATGGACACCCTTTTGCCCTGAAAGCCCATTCCCCCTGCCCCCTATATCTTCTTTCCTCTTTAGTCACTCCCACAATGATGCATCCCTTCCCTCACTTTTGTAGCATGTTTTCAGACATGCTTTGTTTTGTAAGCAGGCAACAGGACTCTCTTTTTTGACCTAGCTCTCCCCATCTTTGCTAGGGCTCATTTGCAATTCTCTCCAGCTCAGCTTTCCCTATCCACACAGTTAGTGAGGGTTGACACCTATGCCCATCCTTTGGCTATTACCAGTTAGATATTCAATTATACCACTATTTTCAGCCTCAAATCCCTTCCTTTTTTTTCCAGGCCAATCTTCAGTCCTGAAAGGGATTACAACTGTGTGTGACTTTGTCCCTGCTTGAATTCCCTTACAGGACACAGGGCCCATATCTTGTTCTTCAACATCCCTGGCTTGGAGCTGGTGTCTTGCTCCTGTTCCTGCTACAGCACCTCTGACCAGGGTGTCCAGCTCCTCTTCTACTGTTTAGCAACATTCTACCACTCACTTTTTCCCGTTCTTTTCTTTGCCAGTCATTCTTAGAAGAATTATATCCCAATCTTTCTCCTGTTCTTTTACTTTATGATCACTTCTGCTCTATTCAGCTCCCACCCACTGGAATTTTCCTATCGTTTTATACCTCACCACTCTTTCTCTTTTTGGAGTCTTCCTATGTTCCTTTGCAAGCTTCAGCTGTTTCAGAGGATATCACTTGACCTATCTAGCAATTTGTGTGTATCAAAGAAGGGGCAGATTTACAGGGGAAAATTTAAGAATTCACAAAGATGAATTCAGTCAGATGTTACCTCTGACTGAAGAAACCCCGTAACAATAAGCTGGCAAAGGCTGTGAGAATAAACAGGATAGATCACTACACACTCTTGGTGGAGTCTTGGTCCTGAGCTAGATGGCTTTTGCCCTGACTGCCACGGCTTTTCCAGACACCGTCTTTCCCCAGTTCACTCATTTGACAAGCTGCCTCTGCTCATCTTCTCCACCCACCAATACAGCTACTCCCCCCAACTCTCTTTCATGAATCACCACTCTTTGCCACCTCTGCTGTGAAGTTCTGATCGGTTTTTGTAGGTTTTCTTGGTAGTGTTTTTTCTCTCCCCCTGCCCTCTCCTTTCTGTGGCTTTCAGTTAACTTGTCTCCCACCTTCCCCGGCCGCTCATACCCTGCACTCCGCCGGCTCCCGCTAGAGGGCTGCCAACTCACTCTGTTCCACAAGCTGCTCCCCTTATGCCGGCCGATTGCCACGCTTCCAAGGAGACCGGAGGAGCACTAAATAGTTGGATAGCGCAACTCTAAGGTTAATGTAAGGTCATGATGTTTTATTTATTGAAAATAAGGATCAAATACACATAGCATTTAGAAGAAATAAGGCTTCATCTTTGTTGATATTGTTGACAACTGCAAACTCTGCAAGCATCCATAACAGAAGCCTCACCCATCAGATACACAGGAACTGGTAAAAAATACTCATTTTTAAGAGCTAGATT